ATATATTGTATTGAAAAAACATACAATATAAGTAGGAAATATTTTGATGTTCCTTTGTTCTGTGTGTCTTACCTCTTCTCTCCGTCTGTTGTTTCATGTTTCTGTCTTGTGCTTTCTATCTACAAAACCCTGCTCTAGGCCAGTGTTACGTGGTGGGTCAGCTGCTACCACTTCCTCTAACCCTCATCATGACAACACCAGGTAAAGAGTATTTTTTGTTAGTCATGATACACTAGTTTAGATTTTAAAATTCAGAGTTAAGTTTCTCTGTTTCTGGAAGGTCTTTGTTTTAAACATCACGCTTGGTGTCATACTGTCCATCTCGACTCTAGATGTATTTAGGCCCTTTTTCCTGGCCCGTCCAGTTCACTTGCAGAAACATCACAGCTGATACATAAAATGTGTTGCTGAACTCTGATTTAACACAATGTTTCAGGGAGGGTTTTTAAATGATAATTAGCAATATGCTTCATAGTATTTTCCACTTAGTAGTAAGTAGCTGAGTTCAATTTTTCCCTTGCTAGGAAATCTGGCCTTGTATCTTTTAATAGTCACAGGGTATCTGTAAAATCCATTTTTAAAAAGGGCATTTCAGGAATACACCTAGGATTGCTTGGTGTAGCTAGAGGCATTTTTACTGCTGTGACTTTGGTAGATTGCAGTCATCAAGTGGAATTGGAGACAGGCCCCATGTGGTCAGGAGTAAGGAAAATAAGTATTCCGGTCCACATCTCATTTCCATTTCCCGCCACACTTCTCCAGTTTCTTCAGAGTGGAGATTGCATCCATTCTTAACTGGGTGCTGGGTTCATGCAGGTGATTCTGGGACACTCAGCACCTCAGCTCTTGTGCTGGTCAAAGACATGATCAGAAGGGATTTCTACCTGGTAACCATCTTGATTTAAAGCTTGGACTAAATATGTTCAGAAGCTGGTAAAGCAGCCATGGCATATTGTGAATTTCTGTTAAATTTTATGACCTGGAGGAATGCCTGTCCTGACCTGAAACAACAGGCCTTAGACTTTTCCCAAATAGTGGGACGGGACAACTGCTGTGCGCTGAGGGGAGATTTTCCAGTAGTTTTGCCATCTGCTACAAATAAAACAGCTACCAAAAGAGCCTCCTCAGAAATGCCACTGGTTCTCAAATGTCCTGTGATAGTAGAGGGAAAGAATTGAAATGGAAGTCCAAGCAACTTTTTATGTGAGAAATAATAAAGATACAATCACTATAAGAGATTTATAAAGTCCTTTGCTTTCCACAGTATCTACAATATATGACACAAGTGGTTTGCAATAGGTGGAAATTATCCAGCCAGCATCAGGCCTTTTTGTTATAGGAAAGAATTTAAGTTCTTTTCTATTTATCTTCTTTTCGGGCTGGATAAGTCTTCCTCGTACAACATTATGAGAAGGGAAGTTGGTCTACAAAGCAACTCAGAAGCACTTGAGAGAAGAAAAATGCTTATGAATTCATTTCTTAGAGAGGTTGTGTACACACAGAATGTCTCAACTTGAGACACTTTGTGGCAATATAAGATAGGTTAGTTTCCCCATTTACGTCCTTAATTTTAGAAAAGATACAGACATGCACACACAGCATGCACATATACATACATACACTCACAAAAACCCAACCTTTTTATTTTCCCCAAATTTGTCAGAAAACTATATTTTTTTCAAAACTTCAGATTGCTTTCTAATAGAAATATTCCTGCTATTTTAGTATGAGGTTGAGTTTATTTTTAAATATCTTTTCCTCTCTGGTGTTTGCAATGTGAACTTCACAGTACCAAGGAAATAAAAAAAAAACACTTTCTGTCGCTAATATTGCCCTACCGAAAGAACTCTTAAGTAGTAAGCAGCACTCATTGAAATTCATGTTTAATCCCCTTGTTTATAATTATTTAAATAGGGGGGAAAAGGCTTTAATGAGAAATAGTTTTGAATTGAATGAATTTGCAAAACTTTTCCCATATTACATTTTTTGGACAGCTCTCTTCTGACACGTGTTGCATAAATCAAGTATTTGTTACTAAAAGTCACTTTGCCCAGATCTGTGGTTTCTCTACAGCCTCCAACCCCCCAAAATATTGTTCAAAAACTAATTCATCTGTTTTTATAGAGTATTTCAAGGATCTCGTTTTATCTAAGTCCAGACTAATGCAATTCTCATTAGATACAATATTATATTGATGTGCAAACAAAAAAAAAAAAAAAAGAATTAAAAAGTTTCTAAAAAGTAAGTGGTGAAAGAAAACAGTGCAAAACTTTTAGCAGTATTTAAGTGTATTCTGTATACTTAAGGAATTCTACTTACATTAAATGTTAACCTTGTTAGTATATGTCTAAGATGACCATCAGCAGCTGTGTGACTAAATATTAAACATTCTTCTCAGGTATCTTTTACTCTGAATTTAGTAGCATTGACATGTATTTTGTTCAATTTCCTAAGCTGTTTACAGCAGTTGTTCCTATATCCTAATAGGAAAGATGGTGAATGCAAAAGAGAGGATTTATACTGGGAAATGAAACTTTAAGACAATAAGGGAAAAATCAGCAATAGCATGGCATTAGGAACCACTTTTTATGTTTTTTGTTGGAAAAAAAAAACGCTTAAGAGGCAGCATTTAGACAGTTAAAACACGTATACTTCATGTAATGTCTGCCATCTTCCAACTTAAAATAAACAGTGAATAACTAAAATACCAATTAAGTAAATAACTTTCACTGGAGTTAGAAATCATGGTTTCTCTGAAACTTTTTTTTGCCTTAAAGTGCAAAATAATTGCTTCATTAAAAAGCTGAGAAGTGCTTTGGAAACAAGCCTCTTTCTAAAGCATTTAAGTTCAGCAGGTGGTGGCTCTGCACTAAGATGCTTCGTTGCAAGAGTCTCAGTCTGCCTAAATCATTGTGTCCAAGAACCTTAATCTCAGTGAATGTTAATTTGAAATATTTAACTAGTTGCTAAGTAGAAGAAAGAATTATTTCCAAGTCTTCATTTGATTTTTTTCAGATCTGCTGCACTTTTTATTGCAACTCTGATGTTTTAGCTGAGGCAATTTTCAGATTTCATCAATCAGTGTAATACTGGAAAGCCTTTCAGAGACTGAGCCACAGCAAGAAGTCTGTTTGTGCAGTCTTCAAAAAAGTTTTAAATGTAGAAAGCAATAGGCTCAGATGCAGTCAAGCACTTAACCTGTTCATAGGTGTTCGTGCTTTATCTTGTTAGAAGCCTATTGAAATACAAAACTCTAAAGACTGAAAGTTCTATATTCTCGCCATCACCACCAAAAATTACTATTGGAATTGTCATAATATATCATATTTGCAAATCTTTGTTGTATGGATGAGATGGCTAAGCTGTATCTCCCTTATTTGATAGATACGGTCTTTCCAACTTGGATACTGCGCTTGAGGCGACACCGGATGACATGACAGCTGTGGATGCTGCCTCCTTAAGAAGACAGGTATGTGAAGCACCGTGGGCAGTAATATTAAGTGAAAGCTGTACAGGTGGAATGGGGCAGCAGGTTGTCTAACAGTGTGGCTGCAAAAGAAGCCGTACGCGCTGCGGGCGGTGGATCCTCTCCGTCTTTGCTGCTGGGCTGCCCTTGGAGTCCGGGAATCTGGGAAGCGGAGGCTCCCGCTCTGTTCCAGCCCCTGCTCCATAGGGAGTGTGAGGTCTGGAGGTAGCAAGCAGAAATAACAAGTATTTAAAACCCGTCTGTATGAGGGGTTCGCCCTGTGTGCCTTTACAGAAGTTTTGAGAGATCTGGCATGTCTTAATAAAGCACTAAATCTTTTATTTATTTTCAGATAATCAAACTAAATCGACGTCTACAACTTCTGGAAGAAGAAAATAAAGAGCGTGCTAAAAGAGAAATGATCATGTATTCGATTACTGTAGCGTTCTGGCTACTCAATAGCTGGCTTTGGTTTCGTCGCTAGACAAAGCTTTCCAGAGGATTTAATAGTTGAAAATATTAAAAATGCAAAATTATTTGGTTTTGTTTCTGAATTGTATGCTGTTTTATAATTCATACACTGGAAAACTCACCACAGAGAAAGGCAATAGAATTGCAGTGTTAAAGGGACACGTGTTGTTCAGTTATACTGTATTTAACAGATTTGCATTGCAAATAGTTGCAGTATCCTCCCTTTGCATGCTTCAGTGTAAATATGGATCAGATGATTTAAAAACGAAATTTGCTTCTTGCAATGTAAGGGCAGTGACCTGTAAAAATAATCACTGGATGTTTTGTTGTGAGAAGAGAACAAAAGGCATGAGTTTGGAGGAAAAAAAGGATTAATAAAGAATAAAAAATGTTTTTTATTGTTCTGTTGTTAGAGGCAGTTAAACGTTATTGCACTTGTTTTCCTTTAGTTGGCCTAGTTAGGGGGTGAACTGTATTCAAGGAGTCCGTCCCGTTTCATAAGTTCCTTGTTTCAACACACATCCAGGTCAAGTACTGAAAGGTATTCTTTGCTAACATGCAGATTGTCCAGAGGTGTGTAATATGTATTTTTTTTTATTTTAGCTTTAATTCTGCAGATGTTTTTTCTATAAAATACATTTGTAAGCAAGTCAGTCTGTGAGTGGTTGAAAGATTATGGAGTACAAGGTACTGATGTAACGTATTTAATAAAGCTCTCAAAACAAAACACTACTTAATGTCATTTTAAGAAATTTAAAATGTAAGATGTAAGAAAATCATGTGTTTCAGAGCGCTTGTCCTTTTCCCAGTGCAGAGAGGTGGCGGGGCCGGGCCGGTCCCCGTTGCGTCTGCAGGCTGCTCGATCTCCTCCCCCGAGTGAAAAACGAAGCCCCGCCTCGCCACAGGCTTCGTCCCGCCATGGTGGTCACCTGCCGCCATTTGGCGCCCGCGCGCGGCCTGCCGGGAGCTGTAGTGCGCTCCGCGCCTCGGAACGTTTCTGCCCGGAACGCGGCGGCGGGGGCGCGTTCCCGGCGGCGCCTTCTGCTCCGCTCAGGCCGCCGCGATGGCGGCCGCGCTGCTGCTGCTGCTGCGCGGGGCCCGGCGGCTGCTGGCGGGGCCCGGGGCCGGGGCCGCGGCCAGGCGGGGCGCGCACGTGGCCCCGCCGCGCCACGAGAAGAAGCGCTGGCTCCGCGCCTACCTGGAGCAGCAGCGGCTGCTCGCGCCTCCTCAGCGGCGGTGAGGGCCGCGGCGACGCTTTAAATCCTTGTGTTATCATTATGTTAAGGGGGAAAAAAAGCTCCCTTAGGGCTTTTTTTTTTCTTTTTTCTTTTCTTTTTTTTTCTTTTTTCTTTTTTTTTTTTTTTCCTTTCCCCTCCTCTCTTTTAATTCCCTTAAAGAATTCTGTATTCCCTTTGTCTGGAAGTTAGGGGATTGCATTTGTTCCAAAGTGCCTCAGATAACATCCTTACAAAGATTTTCTTTTCCCTTTTGCAGCCTCACATGAGAGGTGCTCGCAGTGCAGTAGCTTCTTGTTCCATGTGTGAATCTGCTTATTTTATTGTTTCTTCCTCTGTAGATCAGAGAAGCCCAACTGGGATTACCATGCAGAGGTACAAGCCTTCAGCCACCGGTTACACGAAAATTTTTCCTTGGACCTTCTCAAAAGGGCGTTCGTCAACCCTTGCTACATTAAGGCCGAGGAGGAGAGGCGCCAGGCCCTGGGACTGAGCCAGGAGGCCGTGGCCCTCAACCTGCAGGACAACACTGAGCTGTGGGAAGCGGGGGAAGCGTTTGCGCGCTCCTACCTGGCGCAGTGTTTCGAGGGCGCCTACCCCAGCCTGCCGGCCGAGGGGGTGGCGGCGCTCGTGGGCTTCCTCAGCGGCCAGGAGCTGGTGGCCCACGTGGCGCAGCACCTGGCCGTGCAGGAGCTGGCGCTGTGCGCCCGCTTCCCCGTCCCGCCGCCCGTGCTGCACAGGACGTTCTTCGCCGTCGTGGGAGCGCTGCTCGGCAGCAGCGGCCCGCGCGCCACCGGCCTCTTTGTCAGGGTGAGTCCTCGCCTATGTTTTTACACTAACGTCAACAGTGCAAAAAGCTGAGGGCCTCGTTCAGAAAATAAGAGAAAGGAAAAGCAGCAGTTGAATCTACTCTGGTGGCCAGAGATACAGAGGTTGGGAGACGTTTATTGATGCCAGCCGAAGCCCAAGGAGATCTCTTATTTGTCCTTTTTCTTTTGTTTTTTTTTTCTTTACCAAAAGCATAGACAAGATCGCTCTGAGTTTATAACAGCAATGTTTTTAATATTTGTTGACACTTCTAGGGGTAAACATTTCCTGCACTAAGCACCAATCGAGACTGTTCCAAACCAGGCCGCCCAGAAGGGGCTCAGAGCCCCGTCCTCTTGCCAGCTGCTGCGGTTCTTTCGTCACATTTGAGCAGGGCGCCCTTGCCCAAGGTGCCGCTCCTGGAGGTGGCCAAACACAAAGCCGAGCAGCAGGGCTCCGCTTTGCACCTCGAGCTTTGCTTAGGAGTGGTCTAGCGCTGGGGCTCTTCCGTAATTGATTTCAGCAATTTTGTATCAACTCTTAATGCATCTTAATGTTGTGGTTTTACTAGCATACACCCCAAAACTGCAGCCCTCTTTGCCTTTCCTGTTAACTGTAACCTCTAAATATTTTCTGCTTAGGACTTTTTAATTCCTCAACTGATTGGAAAAGACCTGTTTGAGATCTGGGAAGTTATCAATCCTATGGGCTTGCTCGTGGAAGAGCTGACCAAGAGAAATATGCCTGCTCCAGAACCCCGGATTACCAGGCAGTCGGGGGTCAGCACGGTTCTGCCCGTCTATTTCGTGGGCTTGTACTGGTTAGTATGGAATTAATCCCAGGGCTTTAACGGGGAAAGGGAAGGAGGCAAGATGGGCTTTCTCTTTTTCACTCATGTACTTTGATCCACGTGTTACAGGGAAGAAACCATACAGTGACTTTAATATGAAATGAGCTAATTGAGCCTTGCTAGTAACTTGTCATCGTGATGCACAAAAAGACAGTCTCTGCCCAAAGGGCTTGAGAAACTGAAATGGGCCCAGGGAAGAGCCTTGGGGGTGTGTGCTGCATGAGCTGGCACAGAGACTTCTTAAGTAACAAACCCCAATGGCTCTGGAAGGTGCACAGCTGTGCCCCAGGGTTAGCAAAGGACAGAGAGCGACACCTGAGAGGTGGTCCTCACTCTGCTCCTTTTAGTTTCTGAAGGCTTCTAGTTAGGGGTTAAACCAGGGACCATGCAGTCTAGGCAAGAGGACTGGTTTGCACCCATTAGAACTGCCAGATGCTTCCTAACTGGTGTCTCAGCTTTGGGCAGCAGCTGACCTGTTCTTCTGCCCAGCAGCAGCCCTCGTTCATGGTACACAGCATCACGCTCAGGACTTTATGATGAAAATGTACCCCTGTTATTATTATATACTCTTTTTTTTTTTCCTTTTAGCAATAAAAAGATTATAGCTGAAGGTCCTGGTGAAACGCTGTTTGCTGCAGAAGAAGAAGCTGCCCGGGTGGCGCTCCGGAAGCTCTATGGGTACACAGAGAACAGGAGACCTTGGGATTACTCAAAACCCAAACAGGAGTGGGCAGCAGAAAAGGCAATCAGCAGCAGCTAGGTGATAAAAGCTGCTGCTTGTGTGTTCAGAGAATCTGTGACTTTTCAGCTGAATATAAATGCATGAATATAGAAAGCAAATTTCATTTTGGTCCTCTGAATTTAGGGGGCTTGAAATTTGCAAATCAGATGTGGTATTAACATTGTTTCTCTGACTTGAAATAAAGTCTTTTTGCACAATGTTTAGTAATTTTCCTAAATATAACAGAGGCTCTCTTTTTCTAAATTCATGCCTTTTGGTAGGGAAGGCTCTCTGTTCATCACAGGAGAGACCCTTCTTAATGATGTATGACAGTGTGTGATGATCTCCTTGATTTGAGCAAATCCACTGTGTATAGCAAAAGGGTTTCACAGCTGTTTTCTTGGTGCTTGTTTTGAGCATGTTGCTGTTAAGATCCAGTGAATTACATGTGCAACAAGGACTTTTGGGCTGCATTGTTTTCACTTGTCCTTTAATGTCCAGCATATAGACATGGTTGATGATTCAGTTAACCAAGAAAGAGGGAGTATGTGTCAATGACAATTTTGTACTCCTGCTGCTTGCGTATGGACTTTATTTGCCATGTGCACTGGTTTCTGCTGCTGGGACCATGTGCTCTAAGAGGCTGTATTTTAATTATAAATCCAGGTCAGCTGTGCTGCTCATGCGTTTTCTCACCATGTCGGCTGTGTTGAATGCAGACCTGCATTCTGAAGGGTGAAGCCTTTTGGGGATACTGAGCTCCGGGAGATGAACTGCAATGAAACAGGTTTCTCCAGGCTCCCTCCATATACTTACAGGGCCCGTGCTATCACATGGAGTGTGCAATTCTTGGAATAGTTTCCTTTCAAAATGTAGTCAGGGTCTGTTGCAAGTTGGAGCCTTCAAAGGGAGAAAGGAAGAAGCTGAAAACAGGACAGAGGTTGCAGAGCTTCCTGCCTTATCCTTATCCTGTCATGATCCCAGGCTGCACTCAGCAGGCTTGTGATGCAGAGCTGGATGTGCCCTCACTTCGTCTACTGATATCCAGGACCCTGAGTGAGAATGGGGTTTGGCTGTGCTATTTGATGAAACATTTAGGAGGAAATTCAAGCAAAGCAACTGACTGTCTGCCACCGAGGCAGGTCCTCGGTGTTTATGGTGACTTGCATCCTAAGAAAGGTTAATGCTTTTGTAGCTGAATAGTGGGGAAGTCTTTCTTCTGGTTTCTGGCGTGGGAGGTTGCATGTAGGAAAGCTCAAGTGCATAAGGAGCAGCAAGAAAAAAAAAAAAAAAAAAAAAAGACAATTTTTAAGTGGAAAAAAATCAGCCAGCTAATCTATTGTCATTTGCCTGAACAAGGCTGACAAGGTTACTGTATTCCAGGGGATAACAGCATAATCTCAAAAAAGGAGATAAAATATTATACTTTTTTTTTTCTCTTACCAAATACTCCTGCTTTTCCATGGTAAATGGAAAATTTAGATGAGCTGCTTTCCTGTCATGTTGTTATAAAAAACTGAAATCAAAATATCAAAAGACGTTTTTTCCTTTTTTTTTTTTTAATGATGACGTACAGAAACATTAGAAGAGCCCTACTTTTTGTCTTCAGCTCTTACCAAGTGCCGAGGTAAAACTTTAAACAGGCTCAAACTATGCACTTTCTCTCCTAAAGTCTATCTGAGCTTTGAAGTTTAATAATAAGGGATGCTTTTACTGTAGAGAAGTAGACATCCCAGGGCAGATTGTTTGATCTTTTCAGATTGATTCCACCGATCTAATGGTTTGATTTTTGTCTGTTTGCGAAACCTTTCTATCCTGTTATGGAAATATAAAACCTTACCTCTATATGTATTTTCAGGACTTGGTTTGACTGAATTTGGAAGAATTTTGTATTTAGTTCCTGGGTGGAACCGAAGCAGGAGAAGCGAGGTCCAAGACTTCCATCAGAGGGCAATAATGAATGTTCTCTTTTGGTCCAGTTAAAAAAAAAATATATATATATATATATATGGCAATTGCAATAGAAAGAACTAGGAGGTACACCTTCTGTCTCTGGGTTATTGGTAGAAATATCAGTGTTTAGGATGATCAAGTTAAAAAACCATTTGTAGAAATAGTTCCAACATAAGAAGATGCTTAAGGAGAGAAAGCATAGAAAAAATAGGCTTGAGAGTTAAACGCTAGTGGAAATTACTCTCTTCAATTTTAAATGATACAAAATGAGATTGTTTGCAGAATATCTTGATTTATGGTTCATTAGGAATAAAATTCTTGCCTTAAACTAAAGCTGTGTATCTGAAGAGTTGCCTATTCCATTACGCAGGCCTCCTGCTTCAAGGAACGACGCGACAATGAGCTTAAAACTACTTTTATAATTCAATCTGCCTTTCATCGCTAGGGAGCTAATGGCTTTAGAGCCTGCTGCAATTCAAGTATCATTTCCTGTTTATAATATCAGGGTAACAACTTGCTTTGCTTTTATGCTTTTTTTTGTTGTTGTTGTTATGGAAACATCTATGAAATATTCCATTTCTACCCCAAATGGAGGCCTGCCTGTTCGGAAGCCTGCTGGAATGGCCTGTACAGCAGCCTGCATCCGTAGGCCAATGACACAGCGTTTTGGAGGAAAAATGTCTTTCAGATTGACATTTAGTAGATGCATGTAGGGCGTGGGAGAAATCATTATTGCTTCTAGTACTAAGAAGAAAATAATACCTTTGTATATAGATACACACCTAATGTGTTGCTATATCTATATCTGTAGTCTCACTTCAAGACCCTTGGCAATGCAGATTTTTTTCCTCTCTATTGCTTGAAATTATTCATAAAAATGAAACAAGGTGACATTTGTTGATTTTTTTTTTATTTTCCTGTTTCAGTCTCTGTGCAGCATTGACAGCAAATAGGTTGTTTCTGAAAATCTGGACCAATATCAAAACATTTTTTATTAGCAAATTTCAAAGCTAGGCAACCTGTTTCCTGTTTTATTTCTCAAATGTTTCTTGGTGAATTATTTCTAACTTTTTCCTGCAAACTTGGCTGTAGGATCAAGTATCTGGGAGATAATCAGGGACCAAATGAATTTGCTCAATCCCGTTACCCCATCAGAGAGAAAAGCAGTCAGCTTAGAAATGAGAAGTTTGAATTTCTTTGTGACTGGAGTATTTCTTTGTATTTCTTTTTGAGTACTGTATTTCTTCACTAGAAAATCTTGGAAGAAATCTTAGATCTTTTAAAGCTGTTTGCATCTACAGCTATGACTTGCAGTAATGAAAATGGCCAGTTGAAGGGGAGGAGCTGAAATGTACTCACGCTGTGCAGCAGAATGAGAGCCTTGCTCCTCATACGGAATTATGTATAAAAACAGCAAGCAAAGCTGGGAGTTTGTCCTACTTCCAAGCAAAATGGTTTGTAGAGACAGTGCTGAAATACTGTGAGTTTTGACAGTATTTTTCCTCATATATTGACTGAGATTAGGTTTCTCCTGCAGCAGAACCTCCCCTAAGCGGATATTTACAGCCACTAAGGATTATCTGTATCTATTCAGAGCAACTGCATTAACCTTTACTATGTTCCTTAGCGAGTGGGTTTTTTAATTAATTAATTTGGTTTGCCTCTCACTAGTGCTCCCCTACTATTAGCACTGCCAGTCGCAATGCACTTCTGTCTTTTCCTCCCCGACTAATGGAATGGCCAATTGGATATGATAAATTCTTGGGGATTTTTGCAAAAATCTAGGGGACGATACAGTTATGAAAAGTAAGGGCAAAACATGCACTGGTTAAAAATATTCCTTCCTCTGTCTGTTCTAACGTTGCAGTTTCCTCAGTGAAGATACTTGTGAAATTATCCCAAATTCTCTTCATCAAATCTGAGGCAGCTCTAAGATTGCGCTAACTGATAGCAGTTTCCATAAATCAGACCAACTGCTCAATAATTTAGATTCATCAGTGGAGAGGAACAAAGGCCTTTCTTCATTCCTGTGGGAGTTTTACAGAAATCAGACAGGAAATGCTCATTATCAAGTGGAAAGGGTACTGAAGCAACAGACTTGAATTCAAATTTCATTGATGGCTCAGGAAACAAATTTTTAGATAAACATGAAAATTGAGATTTTTCCTTTTTTTTTATGGATAAAATACCTATTTAAATTCTATCTTTTCCCCTTCTAATTTAGAACCAGATGCTAGTGGATGTCTTAAACTCCCCTTTCATCTCTAAGGTCTTTCGCATCATTGTCTCCTAAGGTCATTTGTTTGTTTCTTCCATGCTTTAGGCCATATTGCTCTCTATCTATTCCTCAGCCTCCAGGCCCTAGACTGCCTTGCGTATTACTACCATTCCCATGAGCAGTTCCTGTAAGCAGGAAATAGGATAGGGCTCCCCATTTTTTGCTTCTTTTAGAAGCAAATGTGAATTTACAGCCCTTTCGGCATAAAATGTTTCACTTTGTTTCTGGCATGTTCTTCTGAAGGGCAGCTTGAAACCACCAATTCACATAATGCCTTGCTGTCTATGGTGCAGTTTATAAAGCATCGTTCAATTATAGGAACTTGCAGAATAGAATGATCAAATAAGACAATTTTTAAAAGAGTTAATAGAAGCCTTGGCATATATCCTAGAATAAAGAAATGGCACTACAAGAACGTAGTAAAAAACAAATGAAAAACAAAATAGAAAAATTTTAAGTACAAAATATGCCTACGACAATTGTTTTGCCCTCACTGCAGCCGTATATAGATGTGCGTTGCTCTTACTGCTTGGTATCTGGCACCACGCACTTTTCTCTAGCTGACTTAAAACCTGAAAAAGTTCTTGTAATAATATAAGCTGCTGAGAAAATAGATAAATACTACAGATCTCCCCATTTTCCCATTCTTTTTGATAGATCTTTCTCTTCTGTCTCTTGCTTTTGTGTGTCTCGGCCCATGCCCTCACCCTCCTTCATGTCCTCCTCAGAATCAGCACTTCTGCATTGACTTTCATTGCTGTGATGGCCAAAAATCACTTCACGTTTCACTACAGCACCCAGAAGGAATTAGATATATGTTATACTGCCACAACATGGTGCTCACAAAAATTAAAGATGGTTAACTTGAAAAACAAACCAAGTGAAGCGCTAGTGCTGTGCTCTCTGTTGTGAGGCCTGTTTCCTGCAAACAGCTTTTGTGGATAAAGACAGGGTTATGAATCATTTACATTTTCTGTTACGTTAACGTCACAGCAGTGGATGGGAAATGTCAAAGGGAAATGGCATTTCAAATAAGCACAATTTTGTAATTCAATGATATTTGTTTGATTATTTTCCCACACCTTAGCTTTCTTGATTTAAATACCTGTCAACAATCAATAACAATCTGTATAAATGTTTCCACACTTTTTCTTACTTTAATCTTTTGGTAGAAAGTATCTATTTATTAGACAGATACACCTCCAATAAGCACAGGAAAGGACATTGATTTATGCTCAGTTGACTGAATCTTTAATAGAGCGTATCAGTGAACATTCCTATCAGATAGACTTGCCATGATCTTTATTGGTGTTTTCAGAAAGTCCTCTATACACAAATCTTGCAGTAGCAATTTAGCACAGATCCTGTATACCTAATCCCAGGATTAATTTTGTATGCTCATCGGTAGCAAAGCAAGATGGTTTAATAGCCCATTAGGCTTTCAGCATGATCTTTTTCACGTCACTTAGCCCGCTGGGTTAATTGCTTTAAAATGGATATCCTAGCGACAAACAGAGGCTGTCTTATTCATCTCCCAAATGTACATTCTTAGACACTTGTTTCTTTTGGTCCAGACAATAATTTCCTTAAACTACGTGCTTGCAAATTATAATTTGTATCCATACTATCCCATATTTAAGAGCTTACTTAAGTCCTACCTTTGGAAATGATTGCCTATGACTGAGCTGGCTTTTGAAGATTTTTGTTTGATTTTATGAAAAAATATTGCAAGGAGCCATTGTTTTACTTTGGTAAGCAAATTAATGTTAATGCTGTAAGCTGTAGCAGGTGCAGCTGGGATTAAGCACTTTCAGAATAAACAGCTGCCCAGTATATTTCCAACCAGAAAAGCATAAATCTGATCATTTGGAGGAGAGAATGAAGAACATTCATTCTTTGGGTAGAGAAACTGTAGGAACAGGAATTCAGGTTCTAATGTAGTGAAATGGAAAAATGCATCAGGAAAAAAAGTAAAACTGAAGAGTAAAACTAATGTAGGATTTTCAGTCATGTATATTATTTGTGCATTTTTATCATTAGTGGTTTGGAGGCAAAAAAAAAAGTTGTTTGTTTTGAGGAAACTGATGTTTGCTGTGAATTACAAATGAGAGCAACAGAAATCGGAAAGGGGAGGCTGGAAGAGCCTCAGGAGTTACAAAGGTGTTTTGGGGAGGTGAAATGGGGCTTGAATGAATGGGCCAAAAAGATGGTATGTCAAAATCCAAAGCCAGTTTTCAGACCTGCATATGTCTAAAATATACAACATAAATGCATAAACACAGAATAGAGAGGGCCTGTCTTTAAAAAAAACATGATTAATGATCATTTCGGAGAAATAAAATATTAAAGCTCATCGTGAGGCTGGAAATATCTCTGGAAATCTCTCATGTTTGTTTTTATGAATTCTGTTCATGCATCTCTGATTACTTAATGATAAACCTTTTTTTCCCCACTATGAAAGCTTTAGACAACTGTATTAAAAATATTTAAGAGCAGTGCATTACACTTTGGTTTAATGAGTGGTTGATCTCCTCGCATTCCTTAGCCCTTGCAGAGGAATTCACCCAGTTGCCCACGCTGTCCACCTAGTTCTAGAGCTTTTGGAAGAAAACTATGAGGAAAATGCTCCGCGTCAGATCTGGCTCCTGCAAGAGCCCTTGCTGAAACGCGTACTGACGTCAGCGATGCAAAACGTGACCCCAAATGCAGAGAATCGGCAGGCCATTAAATCTAAAGAGATGTTAATTGCACAGTGTTGCTAGGCAGTTCTGCAAATCACATCACTAACAAAATAAACTGTGTTCAATGTTGGTTTTTCCACAAGAGCGGCTCGCACCGAGCATCAACATTGCCCGCGGCTCTGCGCCTTGGCAGGCGGCGGCACCGAGGGCACCGCCCACCCCGCGACCGTTACTCGCGCCGACCGTTAACGGCGGCCGCCGCTTTGCCCCGCCCCGCCGGGTCACGCCAGGTAGCGGCGGCCGCGCCGCGTCCTCCCGCGCGCCAGGGGGCGCCGCCGGGCCCGCCGCCGCCGCCGCCATCTCCGCGTCTCATCCCGTCAAGGTGTCGCGCAGGTTCCGCCCGCGCTCGTCATTCAGCCGCCCCGGGCCTGGCGCCGCCGCCGCCGGCCTCCTCCGCCTCGCCGGCGCGCCCTGCGCGGCCGCCGGCGGCCGGCGCGAGGGGCGCCTCGCCGCGCGCCCGCTGCCCTCGCTGCTCCCGCCCGCAGCCCCGGGCGCCGCTGTCCCGGCGGGCGGCGCAGCGCGGCCGCCGCCGGCTGTGAGCGGGGCGGGCGCAGGGCCTCGCCGGCGGCGCCATGGCGGCGAGCGCCAAGCGGAAGCAGGAGGAGAAGCACCTGAAGCTGCTGCGGGAGATGAGCAGCCTGCCGCCCAACCGCAAGTGCTTCGACTGCGACCAGCGCGGCCCCACCTACACCGACATGACGGTGGGCAGCTTCGTGTGCACCTCCTGCTCCGGCATCCTGTGAGTGCGACCCGCCCGGCGGCCGGGACACGGCGCGGCCCCCGCGGCCTGCGCCCAGCCGCCCCCCGCGGGCGGAGCGGGGAGGCGCCCTGGCCTCCCGCAGCCCCGGCGGCGGCCGCGGCCCGGGCCGGGGCCAGCGCGGCCTCCGGAGAGCCCGGCGGGAGGGGAGCGAGGCGCCGCGGCCGGCGCGGGCCGAGCCGAAGGGCTGCAGAGGCTGCAGGGCCGGTATGGAGGCTGCCTTCCCTGTGCCTTCTATTTATTTTATTTTATTTTATTTTATTTTATTTTATTTTATTTTATTTTAAAATTAACGCTAATGACACCCACCAGCGCAGCTCTTCAGGCATCAGATGCTGCTCGATAGCAGTCTGTGAAACAGCTCTATAAATCTCCTGCTTTGGGCTCTAAAGTGTACTCAGTTGGAAAACGTTGTGGTGTTTTTTTTTTCTCCCTTGTGTTTGTTACTTCCTGCAAAATTGGACATTATCTTTAAGAAAAGGGTTTGGCTCTGATAGACTGGCCTGCTTTTTTCCTGTTCCTCATTCCTGCACAGGCCTCCCGCTCTTCCTGCTCCCTCCTGCACCGCGGTGCTGGAGCAGCGTGTTTGGAACTGGAGCCCCCGGGCTCCCGGCGCTGCGTGTCCCTGTGCTTCCCAAGGGAGGCAGGTGCACGCTTGCAGCTGGGCCAGGAATCCTGCTATCTGCACTGTGACTGTTTGCACAGCAAAATCTGTTTGCCTGTTTGCTTTCCCATGGAGTTGTGCTTGTGGGGTGGAGAAAAACAAAAGTGGACCAAGTAGGTAATAATTAATAGGTCAGATAATTCACATCTGTGTTTGTAAGGATCTGACTTCAGGAGAAACATGTGTGATCTTAAAGAGCTAATTTCTAGGCCTTACATACTGAAGAACATACTGAAGAACTGTTCTGCAGATGCTTTTTTAAAACAAAATTGCCAATTATATAGGAATACGGAACAAAGTGAACATGTTGGTGCCATGCTGAATTTACATGGAACAAGATGCCTTTGTAATTAGAATATTTCAGAATATTTCAGAATATTTCAGAATATTTCAGAATTAGTCTTTTTTCTTTTTTTTTTCCCCCCTTCCTTTCATTTTTACTTGTATTTTTGTAGACTTCTGAATGGGCTTGACGAAAGTATAAAAAACATTCAGGTTGTGGTATGAAAAGAGAGTTTAGTTTTTGACATGTACGTGGTACTTAATCGGCCAGCCCTGGCTATTTGTTCTGTTAGCAAACTATTATTTGTGCTGGTATATGAAACTATTTTAAGCTGCTGCATGGAGCTTATTTAATGGTTGCACATGTTCCTACTGGTTAAACTGACAGCATGACAAAACTACACTGTGGGTCTACTTTCTCTTATTTGCAGGCTTCATAATATTAACAGACAAGTTAACAGCACAAGTTTTGTTGAGATATTTAGCATGGGTTTGAGAGGACTCAGTTTATCTGTTGGTCTTGGCCAATTCATATACTCAGTCTACTAGTCCAGTTTGCCGTAGCATAAAGGATGTGCCTGCAGTGAAGCAGACATTAATCAGGGGACTCCTGGCACTGCTGTTAAATTTGCCATCATTTAGGGGTTACCATGCTTAAAAACAATGAGCCTTCCTCTGAAAGGGGTCCATGACTCAGTATGATATAAAACATGAATACTTTTTGTATTCTGTATATGCAATGTGCTTTTTCTTTTTTTTTCTTTTCTTTTTTTTTTTTTTGTAGGCACACGATACTTTCATTTGTTACAGCTAGTAACACCTACACTTAGAGCTGGAGTAAAGAATCTTTCAGAGGACTACCTAAAGTTTTCTTCTGAAATACTTTTGTGCTCATCTTTCATGTTGCCTTGCAAATGCTTTCCTAAGTTGTGTGTGCAAGGTCGTGGGTAATGGTTAACACTCAAGAGCCTTACCAGTGGGATATTTTTTCCTCGTTGTTAATAATGAGACAGTGCAGGGATAGGTCACGCTTACTTCAAAACTGGAAACTGATCTTTAACTCTTCAAGCCTTAAAGCTTAGCAGTACTTCTGTTAGGACAGTTGTGTGTACATCTTGTTTATTAATGCTTTTCACTATAGAATTCTACACTGAAGAAGAGTGACTTGGAAAGAAACCACGTAGTGGTAAAACTGTAAAAGTACTGCTGCTTCTGCAGCTCTTCACAGGAACTTGTGTTCTATCTTGCTGCACTTGCTTTCCTGTAAGACTTTAATAATAGTATTGTGCCCTCTGCTTGGTGTGCATTGCTTCCTATATTAATTATTTTGTAGTGTGATACGGGAAGTATTCTTCTAGTCTGCTAGACCAGTTCTTTCAGATGTAAAGCGCTAAATGCAAAATACGGTACAGTAGCTCAATTAATGATGAGAAGTGATAGTTAGAATCATAGAATCATTATGGTTTTTAAAAGACCTTCAAGATCATAAAGTCTAACTGTAAACCCTTCAACTGTACTTTTTTTAAGTAGAAGTATGGATAACCGTAGGTGATCATTCTCTGTGATACCAGGAGTTCACATTCTCTCACTAGGTTGGGTTGAACAGAGGAAAAGTTGCACTGTGTAAAATGGAGCGAACAGAAGAAAGTGGATAGTGACTTCATCTTGAAATACCTTTGCTTGTCCGCTGCTTAAATTCCTCTCATGTAGAAAGCAAGCACCATGCATGCTTTACATAATTCTGCTTTCGGGTATTGGACAAGATCATAAGCTCTGTGGAAATATGTACCCATTTTTTTTCCCCAAGAGTGAAAGGGGACAGCCAACAATTGTTGTATCATTAGGTCAAAGAGTAGTGTAATCCAAAAGCAAAAGATTTCTTTTTGTCGTAGTAAAACCCTATCTAGAGGAATGATTCCAGTTTTCTTTTGGCAGAAAGGTTCTTCTGGTTTGGGGAAAATCCTTTGAACCAGAGGTTTATGTTGGCCATGTCTAGTGTGGTTTTGGTTTTGCTGTATGTTAGTGACAGCTTCCCCTGTGTTTCATCACACGCCTCTGCCTTGCTTTTCAGTGACTTGGGCATCTCTGCTTTCAAGCCCTTCTGTGCCTCTGCTCATCAGACAGCTCCCAACTCTCATAAACTAGCACATTTTATGATTCTTGAGCAGACAAATCTCTGATGAAAGATTCCACATCTGTAAGTTTCATACTACTAGAAACTCACATGTTTGTATAGACAGGGTTAAATCAACTATCATTTTGTATGGTAATTTGCTACTTCTCTTGGATTTTCTAAGGAACTATCTCATTCAGGTGCTCCTGCTACTGACTTGTGTCAGGAGCAACAAGGAGAATTTAGAGTATTTTGTTACAGTTTCCTGGGTTGAAGCAAAGCTAGTTCAGTTTGTGTTGACGTGATGTTCCAGTCTTTTTTTTTTCACCCTCCTTCTTAGGAACATGTTTGGAAAATGGTTCCATATGTGTATGTATATGTATGTATGTCTTTGTTAGAGTATTTCTTATGTGGCTATATTTCTTTTATTTAGTGTCATTGCTGGAGAGCTAGGGAAGTGGCTACACCTCAATGAATACTATGCAGCCAAGAAAGGAAGGATTTGTTTAAAAGAAAAAAAGAAAAAGTTGCATTACATATTTAGAAGCACAGACAAGGTTATATGAGTTTTTTTGCTGTTAAAAATAGTAAGTTTGTGAGGTAGTAGAGGGTCTCCTGGGAAGTCTGCACGTATTAGGAAGGACCAATGCACTGCTTATACTTTCTTTCTTTCTTTCTTGTGATAGCAATAGCCTAGAAACAAAAATGGATATAGTGACCCTGGGGAGTTTAAAAAGGCTCTTTTCCAGGCAGTTGGAGATGTAGGTGCTCTCTAATGGCTTGTGGTTGACTTGCATCACTAACTTCCTGCTGCCCAGCAGATCAGATTTTTCTTGAGACAGTGCTAGAATCTCATGTGGAGTAGCACTGGGGGGTTTGAATCGCCTCCCCTCTCCTGGAAATGACCCTTCAGCTCCACAGTAGCCACTTTTCCTTCCTTTTCTCCTCCTGTCCCTGGCTGATGCTTTGCAAACGCTCGTTTGAGGTGAACACAGGAATGCCTGTTCTCTACTCTGCCAGCAGTCACAAGTTCAACCATGATCTGCTATTAAATTACACTACTAACAAACTCTAGAGTGCTCATTCCTAGTGTTTTGAATGTTAGTGTTTAAGTTGCCCAGGATTCAGAGTCTTGTATCAGTGGTTTTAACGCTCAGTTTGGTTGCAAAAGCACACGACTTTAACAAGAGCAGTTGCTCTGTTAGCATTCCGTGTACAGGGGCCGCTGACAGCTTAGAGCAGCCCAGCAGAGGACAAGCTCGTTGCTGGAGGCTCTGGCACAGCAGAGTTCCCTTGGAGTAACTGCTATCTTTAAAGAAGTTTTGCATATAGGAGTGGGCTCAAAATGCAGGGTATTGGAGTGCAGTCTAGCAGAGCAGTCTCACATGGGCAAGTGCTGTGGGGTGGGTCAGTGCTCTGGTGGCAGCCGTTGCTGGTACCACTCTGTGTGTGCAGGTCCCAGGTGGCCCATGCTGGTGCGTGTGCAGCCTTGTGAGAAGAAGGTGACTGTCTGCAGTGCCACGGGAAGCACGTGCAGCTCTTAAACTTGAGTGCATGTGTATTGCTGCTCTTGACTAAGGACTTACCCATTTTGTTGCCTTGACAGGGAAGACTGCAAAGCACCAGCAGCATGTGAAGCACCTGACGGATAGATGAGAAGAAACAGGTGGAGGGGTTAGATATGTTTCACCTGTGGGAAAATAAGGTTTATCTGCTTGTAAGGGATAGTTTTACTTGCCTGCCTACCAGTAAGCTTCCTCCATATGTGGACAAGTTGTTTGTGCATCATTTGAGTCAAAAGTATTTCTGTAGCTAAGGAAGGGGTAAAATATCATAGGATTTTGAAGGAAGAGTAGCTTTAGTTTGGTTCTGGAGTTCTGTTGTGTAAATCCTGCAGCTGCTCTGTCTTAGGGAGGTTCTAGTTAGTTCATGAGGATAATGCAGCTGAGTGTCTGATGCTGGTTGGAAAGCATAAAAAGAGGCATGTGGGTATGTTTGTTGCTTTGTGCTGTGTATTTCCCACCCCCCCTTCTTTTTTAAGCTGTTCCTGATGGTAGAATCTGAGTGTGGCTGTTTAGCTAAAGAACTTGGTGCATTTCTTTTGGGCTATGTCTATATGCTGTGTAATGGAGCCTCTAATTTTGCACTCCATGCTGCAGTCTGACTTAGGCTTCTGCTTTTGTGTAAGAGGCCTTTTTCCTCCTTTTTCTATCTTAAACATTCAAAAATAATCATATACTGCAACTACTGCAGCTTGGTTGCTCATTTTGCAATACTGAGCATTAAAGTCATGCTCAGAATTTCCTGTCTTCTAAAAGACAGTCTTCTGAATCGCTAGTGGGGCCACATCCTCTTTTTCATCATGCAAGATATCTGACGCTCTTGTGTTATGACCTACCCTGTACAAACAGAGCATATTTCCTTCCTAGCTCATAGCAATCTAGCTGTGAAAGTTCCTCAGTGAGAGAACAGTAAGTTGAACAGACTAAGGTAGATGGAAACTCTTTTCAACTTAGCTTGAGTGCAAGGGGCAGTGATGGTATAATATTTAATGAAAGATAACTATGTGAGGTGTCAGCTGGATGTCACTGTGATGTCCTTAGCATGTGATTCTGTAGTGTGGCTTAGTGAAATGTCATTATTCAGTTGCACAAGTACAGAGCAAGATGTTACGTTTAAAGGAAAATGAAAATGCTAATACCAGCAGTAGATCTGAAACTCACGGGGGTTTAGCTGCATAGAGCTATTAAGATTTTTCTTTGAAGTAAATATGTCTTAACATGAGTATTGAGGAAAAAATGGATAATACTTTAGTAATAGTATGGTTATTTGTGAAGAAGCTATGCATCTAATTGATGATTCAGTGAAAGAAGTTAGATTATTAGTTAATTTTGGTTTAATGTTGAAGTTGGACATCTTGAGAAAAGTTCACTTACTGAAAAGATAAGTAGAATAAACAAGTTACCTCAGTCTTTTTCACAGAACTTAATAAAACTTTTCCTTCGTGCTGAGGCAAGAACTTAGTTGAGCTGTTCAACCATGTAGCCTAATTTTAGACACTTAAATTTGAAGAACTTGCTTAAGCAAATAACTTTGTGTAAACTTTTAATTCTTATGCCAATAGATCTGCATATGACTTCTGCTTTCAGGGTAGTTTCAGTCAGTTTCGCTGAATTTTTTGGTAAAATACAGTGAGTTTGTTTTTGAAGTGCTTCAAATTTCAAGTGTTTTAAAACTTGATAAATTCGAAATGGCCTAAAATGTACTGCTTAATGTTCTAAATAGTTCCCGTGTTTTAATCTCTGATTTTTAAAAGTGAAAACCATTTTTTTAGAGAGGAATAGAACTGTACCCTTTTTATAGGTACAGTGTGAATTCAGGCAATGGTGAAGTTGTGACAAGTATGTGTACTTTTCCATGTCATCTACCGAACTGGACATTCAAAGTGCTAAATATTCTCTTTAAAAATTCAGTGATGACAATAAAAGTAAAATCTTTTTAACCTTTGTTGCAACAGATTTTTTCATCCCCTGTTTTGGTAGAAAATAATTCAATTTACAGTTAGCATTCCTGGAATAGTCACAGGGAGTAGGGAGTATTAAAGAAAACTACTAGTCTTCTCTAATGACATGTCAGCAACTTGCATTCCTAAGGGCATTCTAAACGAAGGTTATAATTACTGCCGAGTAACAAATGTAAGCAATAAAGCTAAATCTTATCGTTATTTTGTTAGTAATTTGTTAGTTCCATGTTACTTTCCTGGAAAGCTTCCCTCAACCTCTTTTTCTGGAAACTTTCTTCTCATGTACATAACCACACAATTTTATGTAGCTATAAGATATCAAAGCACTGTATATTATTATTTTTTTAAGATGGTATCACGTAAACACAGGGCTGCTTAACCTTAACCTGAGTGTTTTAACTAACACAGTTATATTGCCTTATCTAGTATTTCTGTATTTCTGCTGCTTAGTATATGTGGGATAGAATGTCCTTGATTTCACTGAGAAAAACATGGTTAGATATTAATTAGAAGTATTTGTGGGCAGAAATGGTAGTTAGCACATACTTAAATAAAAAGTTTTGGGGGCTTTTTTTTTTTTTTTTTTTTTTTTTTTTCTTTTTTAACCTGGCACTGTTACCCAGCAATTTTTTTTTTTCTTCTTTGCCTTCAAGTTTTGACTGAATGGGATTTGACAAGTAAGGCTTTGGCAAAAAGACTGACTTGAGTTTCTGTTAGCCTTTGTGATGTGGATGTGAGACTGGTGCCCGTTTTTGCCTAAGGCAGAGCCACTGAACCTAAGAGCCGTTACCTTAATAATGGTAGGTGTCCTCTGCAAGCAGAACAGAAATGTCTTCCTTTAGTGCCACTGTTACTTACATAGTGTTGAGTTGGTGGAAGAAGACAGATCTGCAAGGAGGGGCAAAGCTAATCTAGAGGAAAAGATACTGGAAAGTAGCAGAAAGATAGATTACAGCAAGGGAGAAAACTGAATGTGGGCTGGGGAATTCAGCTTAAGAGATCTAATGGTCAGGTAGAAATTATAATGAGAATAGGTCCCTGTTAGGGAGAGGAAAGGAAAGCTATAGAGAGGCCCAAGGTTGTCGGAGAGATGGAGGGCAGAGTGAGGGTGAACAAGTCTAGGGAAGCAGATGAGTTCTTTTTAAAAGGCCTAATTATATGTGCATAAACTTACATAGGAAGGACCAGAGTTAGTTTGTGTTCACCACTATAAACACTGATCTCATCTAAAATTCAATTGCTTAGCTCTGCACACTAAATCTTACCCTAAGACAAGTTTGCATATAACCTTTAAGTTGTGTGACAGTACCAAAATTACTGCTATTTCCAGAGACAACTCTTTATGTTAAAACTGGCTTATTTTGTTTGTAATTTTGAAGAGATTGTATGACCACAGTTTTCCAGAATACTGACTAAATGCTTTTTGCTTCTTTTAGACGGGGCCTGAATCCACCCCACAGAGTGAAGTCGATTTCCATGACTACTTTCACACAACAGGAAATAGAATTTCTGCAGAAACATGGAAATGAAGTAAGTATTAAATGGAGAGTATCAAGTGTGTGGCAGCATTTTAATATCAAACTTTGAAATACTACTTAAGCATTTTTTTCTAGCAAGGAATAGACAGAAGCCACCAGTCTTTTGAAGTGATACTTTTAATGTTCTCATTTCACTTAGGCAGATGTCATGATAGTATTTCTTGTGTGTTATTTCACAGCCTAGACTATCTAGATTAACATGCTCAGTGCTTCTGAGCTGGGCTATGCTTTGTTTTTGCACGAGGCAGGCAGTGTGCATCCGCCTGCGTGTTGGCTGCAGCAGTGTTACCTGAAAGATTGTACTGTGACCAAAGGAAAATTCTTGCCTCTAGCTATATTTTTACCAAGTAGGTGTCACTAGCCTCCTCCTTTGAAGAATATATGTCACTTTGCTTAAGGTCCTTGAAGAGGAAGGAGGGGAATTAGAAGCAGCTGTATGTTTAGAGGAGCTTGGGGCAGCTTTGAAGAAGCAAGTCCCTATGCGTGTGTGTGCTGTGAGCGTCCCCCCCACTGGTGAAAATGAAAGCCCGGGTAAATCTTTGACACAGAGAGTATGCAAACTCTGAATGTGGCTATTGCACTCCTCAATTTGAGGATGAAATAAATATTTTAATGCAGCACTGCAGCATTGAGGATTTGGAGACAGCTTTTGCTTTTAATCTTAATGGTTGTATTACTGAAAAAAACAGTTTCGCTTTGGATAGTTGTGTGAACCTGTTGTTTGGAAATTATGGAGCATATCGCTGGTATCTTATCTTGAAACTTTGTTAAGACAAATCCAATCGTTAGCTGAATTACTGATGCCTGTTTTTTTAAGCTTAACCCAATTCATAACTGTCAGCTTTAAGAATGAAAATAAAATATCTATTTCTTTTTCTGTCCTTGCAATAATATGCATTATTTATTTGGGTAGGGGAAAAAGTCAAAAACTGTTAGTGAATAATTTTGTTAGACAGAGCTGGAATAAGATCTAAAGTCTTCTGGTTGTTGTAAAGCATTCTTAATGTATTTAACCTTTTTTTTGAAAATGTTGTGGCATATTATACATGTGTTACATTGTGTATGATGCAGCATATTTTTGGCCTTTTGCATAGGGAGCATAATAAAGGCAGTTTTCATGATAAAGGCAATTTTGATAAAACATATTGGGGGAGTCTTGCCATAGATTTGATTATAAACTCCACTTTAAACTTCAGATCTGTAGAGAAAAAAGAATCTATTTAGATCTCATTTTTTTTCCTGATTCTGCAGTGGCTAGAAAATAAAACTGGTTTGACCCACTGCTACTTCGAAAACTTGAATTATCCCAGCTCAGTCAATAAGTGTATTTCTCCTTCTGACTGTAGTCCTGACTGCCAGCATCACATAAACTGATATAGTTTATGTAGCATTTATTATCAACCTAAAAACATGCAAAAAATATTTGTAATAGTTTAGTGTGCTTTGATAGCAAGGGTCTTGGTGGTGTTGTCATTCTTATTCGTGCAGTTAATGAAAGTACTGGAATGGTTTGAATGAGCTACCTCATAAATAAGATGGTCTTTTAAATTAATTTGGGGATGTCTGGAACCATAGAATCACTGTGGTAGGAAAAGACCTTCAAAATCATCAGCTTCAACCATAAACCCATCAGCATCCTGCCTATTAAACCATGTCTTCAAGTGCCTCATCTACACGTTTTTTGGACACTGCCAGGGATGGAAACTCCACCAATTTCCTGGGCAGGCAGTTCCATTGAGTGCATTGCCTTAATTCTAAAGTAACATTGAATCAGTGTTTCTAGTTGCAAATGATGGATGTCACAGTTGCTCAAAAACCGAACAAAAGTGAGACTATCTTGCTGTATTTGGGGATGTTTACAGCTTGGCGTTGCTTACTCCTGTGCTGGGTGTGAGCTTTGTCCAGACTCCATTTTTGCTGGATTTGGGAAAAGCTTGCTTTTGTGGAAAGAATGGCAACTTGTTCCAGCTGCTGCTTTAAGCAGCTTCTTGGGTTCCTTTTGAAGGATAAAAGGGTGTTGAGTGTGTGTGAGGTTGATTTGGGTGATAGGATTTCTACCTATCCCACTATCTCTTCACAGAGAGTGATGTTGAAGTATTTCTGTGCTGTATTTACATGATGGAAATAAAGAGGAGAGGGAGGAGTGAGTGAGTGCTCACGAGTCCTGATGGCTTGAACTGTGCAATGGTGCCACACTAGCCTATGCTGCTAATAGCACAGACACACAGGAGCTGCTTGTGTCTCTCTTCCAAGAGCCAAGCATTTACTAGCTTGGGCTCTGTCCTTATGAAAGCAGCTATGGCTTCTGGACCAAAACTAACTTGGAAATTGGTATGCTGGAAGTATATATGGAAGTACTATGGAAGTATAGGTGAAAACTTTTTTTCACCTATAGAAATTGATGAATAATATTGACATCAGGAGCTCTTGAGTTGCTAAACAAAGCCATGGCTCTTGTACATAGCAGAGCTTTTTCCAAATCTTTCTTCCTGTGGCTGTTATGTTTTGAAACAGTTTTGTTGTGTGTCAATCTGCAGTTTTTGCACTGTCAGGGATACTTTTGGTGTGAGACTGAGGATATGGAGGAGAGTAGCAAGGAAGGGGGCAACAAATCTAATCTGGAATTTACCAGACCCCTTAAAGGTAATATCTTGTTGGAGCTTTTTAAACTAGAGATTGATCTGTACAGTCTTCCTACTCAGTGGATGCACAGTGGAATGTTCAGGTCTAAGCAAGGAGTGCTCTGTTGCTAGAGGGCTAGTGGCTTTTCCAAGGCTAGTTTGCCTTTTGCCAGCAGACTTGTCCTATTACAGCTTTTCTTTGCTCTGCTGTCTTTGCTGCATACAAGAGAACAAGACGTCATGAATAAAAGCTCCAGTTCAGGGGCCTGTGCACTGAATCCGTGTTAGTCCTACTCAGCAGAGCTGTTTTAACGGGAGTTCCTAGTGGAGTGGCTCAGTGTCTTGCAGCCTTTGGCTCTCCGTAGCTGCTCCCCGCACACGTACCAAAAATGTGCATCGGCAACATAGTTGTGACAGGGCTAATTGTTGTTTGGTGTTTGAAATATGTAGCTCTGGAATAGAGGCAGCTGACATCTCAGATTATTTCAGGCTTCTTGCAAAATTGGACAGATGCCGCTGAATTCTTTTTCTTTACTAGTGTCTTTTTTTTTTAATTTTTCTTTCCCCACCCAATCTCTAGAAAGAAAAATGAAAGCCAAAAAAATATGGAAAACAGTAAAATCTGTTTCTCATCCTTTGACCCTTGCCTGGAACTCCTAGAAGCACAAAATGCTATTAAGAGGAAGGATTTTAAACCTGAAACTTTTAGTACTTGCTTGTTTGTATACAGAATGTGCAGTGGATGGGATGACTTCTTGTTTCCTTAATGACAAAATTGAAAACGCAGGTAGTTGCTCAGGCTGTAGCACAACAAACCTACTTGATGTTTAGAAAAGAAGAATTGGTAAATGCAATTCTAGCCAAAAAAAAATAAAATCTCAACATAACTCATTGTTGCGTGTGGATTCAGGGAGACTAGTAGTATGAGGAAAAATGTATGTAAAGACTTACTATAACATAGTATATGCACTTGTCCCAGGTTTTCCTTTCCACAATGTATTAAGCTATGGCAACTCAGTATTTCTGCTTTTCTACCCTCCTGGCTTTTGATCTGTGCCAGGGTGAGTAGGTTGAAGGTAGTTGTGCTTCTGTCTCACTCTAATGGTGAACTGCTTAGTATCCAGTTGGCAAATATCTTATCATGTCCCTTGCAGGGGGGGAGCCTGTTGGCAGGAAACAGGTGGTGTTCCTCCCAAAACCAATTGTAGAAGGATTCTCATGAGCTTTCTGAATTTCACAGGGATAAATAAAGCTTAATCTTGATTTCTGCTTATCATTGTCAGCTGACTTTAACAAAATAAAAACACCTTTTGTCTTTTAACACCTTCCACAATGTCCACTGAGAAGTAGTAGGAGCAGGCAGAAGTTTTGCTCTTCTTAACCTCTCTGCAAAAGCAGACTTTAAAATACTGCATACCCTTAAATCATTCTGTCTTGGTGGTCTTTTTTTTTTTCTTTTTTTTTTCCCCTCTCTTTGTTGGTGAACCAGTGGGACATGGACTAATTACACTATTCAGGGACAGTTGACAATGATTATGGATTGTTGGATACATTCCACTTTTTCTAAGGGCTCCGACATAACTTGAATGTTTACTCTTGGCTCCAGCAAAGTCAGGCTCTTTTCTCCTAAGCAAAGTACTTTGTTTTAGTAGAGCTTTGGTTATCAAAAGGAATTCTGCAGCAAGACTTCGAACAGGGATTTTGAGCAGAGGCTTATTTGTGCTGCTTTGCAAAAGCAACAATATTAATACTAAATGACTGAATCAGAGTACGGCCAAGGAGATGGTGAGAAAACTGGAGAATATATAGGCCTGGTCCCTCAAAGGTGTATTTTGTAGCTGTATGATGAGAGATGATGCGTCTTTATGTATCATTTCTAAAAACTGAGGAGTGACTAATTTTGTTGCAAGGGAGCTCAGGATGAAACTGGGGCGGTAGCATTATCTGAATCAGCCCTGCAAATCTGTTTATTAAACAGAATCATTACAGAGCAGAGAGAGGGGTTTAAACTCTGCATTGTTTGGCTTGTTCCAAAATTCTTGAAACATAGGTTGTTCTGCTTTATTTTTATTGTGTATCTTTTTGCACTTTTATTCCCCTGTGCCCTAAGTAATAGCCAAGCACAAATCAGCACATGCTGCGAACAGCTGTGTCATTGCTTGTTCAGGAGTCAGACCAGAGAGAACATAAGGCTGAAGCTCATGCTAGAGTGTACTCTTCACAGAAATTCCTAGTCTGGTGTTCTAGTTTTTTTACTAACTTGTTCATGCAATTAATCTCTTGATATCTTGTGTTGTCTCAGGTCCAGGTAGGGGTTTTAAAGCAGTCATGTTCGGAGAGTGACTTAAAGCAACAATCCTAAGGCCAAAGGGGTAAATGCTAAACAAACCTTCCTCACTAGAAATCACTAGAAGTTGTATGACACGAGAAACAATTTCTTGATGTTGATATCATAGAAGTAAATTTTAAATAGCTTTCAAATAAAAAAAATGGTGATGGTTTAGTTAGCAAGAATTTCACATTTCATCTTTACACACAGAGAACAAACTGTCTATTGCATGAGATTCTGTTAGTTAACTCTTAAAGCTGTGAAAAGGTACTTTTTCATAGTTTAAATGCATATAATCATGCAATTTCTGTCTCTAACCATAATTAATATTTTCTTGTATTTTAATTTCGGACTTTGATTTCATCCCATGATATCCCACGTGCTGACAAGCACAGTGCACTGCTGCTTGCTCAGGGGTGGGTGATAGCAGAAAAATTGGATATTGCGGCTGGCTTGAGGCCTAATCGATGCAGTGCTGGAGCTGCCTGTCAAGTCAGATGCTGGAGCAGAAGCGCAGCGCGCGAGAGCGGCCAGGTCAGCAGCACAGCCCGGGGACAAAGGGCCTTTTGCTGCCTGCTGAATGCCGCTCGGAGCGGCTGCCGCTGTTCAAAGCGTTGGGTGGTACTCGGCAGACACAGACAAAACTGTGCCCTTTATTAGTTTCTCTCGGGATATTACAGCTTTATAAAAGCTGCCTTTCTGAGCAGCTTGTCCGTAGTTAAGACTTCTAAGAAATTATACTTAGGAGAACTCGAAACTTGCATGAAATTTAATTTGCATCTCCACGTTTGCAGTTTGCATGTCTAAGGAGTAATGTTTTAAGGAGTGTTTGCATAGCTGCTGTTGTCAAACCCTGCTTATTAAAATGAGAGCTTCTTGCTGAGATGTGTGGAAATAAGTCTGGATTCTCTTCTGGCAGTTGTGTGTTGTCATGGAGCAGCCCTTGCCTTTTAGTGATACTCTGCTTCTAGTAATGGAGAATCAATAAGGAGTGCTTGGCAGATTAATCAAACTGCACTGATGTAATAGTGACTTAAGGCCTGTTTCACACTTACACTACTGTTGTGCTTAGGAATTTAAATGAAATTAGTGACTCCAAGAAACTGGAAGGTTGCTTTCTGAACATTAAACGTTCCAGAATTAATTGCTTATACCTTTAGGAGAAAAAAAAAAAGAAAAAAAAAAAGCCTTGCATGAAGCACCGTTATAAACACTGTGTCTGCACATATACTGTGTTCCCTCCTAGCTGTCAGCACACTCTCAGAACTGGTACCTACCCCATCTGCGTTACTGCTCTAGATGCAAAGTCTTCCAGGGTCCAATTTGCAGGTTTCACCTAGAAACTGCTGGTGTGGCCAGCCAGAGCCATGACTGTTTGAGAAGATTTCTTGTGCTGATCCCGTTCCCCACCTAATCCCCCAAAAGGCCAAACGTCTCAGCTTTGCATCAAGTGGAGATGAAGCAAGCAATGGCGAGGGGAAAAGCTGAAAAACTGAGCTATAGCTCATCTCTGCACTGGTTTCAGTGCTACTGGCAACAAGGTAATTGAAACGTGTTTATTTGAGCTGACTTGCAGTTTTGTGTGATGGAAGGAAGAGGGAAGAATTTAGTGGCCTGACATAGGTGGAGAAGGGGACCTCCCTTTCAGGTGCTAGTCTGTGTTTAGGCTGAATGGACACTGATCATCAGGGTTCAGCTGAGTGTGTTTTTGCAGCTGCTGGCTGTTCTAACACTTGTCCTTCTGCCTGCTTTAATCTGTGCAAAACTGCTGCTTGCCTTTGATGTTTCTGATGTTCTTTCCAGTGTGTTGGGGTCTGAAGGGAGGAGAGTTGTACAGACTGGGCAGCTCCTGCTACCCAATATTCTATAATCAGCTGCAGACAGGACCTCTTAGCTCCCCAGGTCACAGCTATTCTATGCAGGCCACCTTGTACAGTTACACCTCAGAAAGGGCAGCCCGTACAGATCTTGCTGCCTCTGCAGAAGGGAATCAAGGGAATAATGCTGAGCAAATCCCTGGCAGAGGTTTGGGGGAAGTCTCCTGCTTTTGCTGAAAAATCATGCATAGATGTGGAGACTAACGGACTACTGTAGCCCTTCACATTCTTAAAGTGTCTGCAGCCTAATTTTGCATATGGAAATATGGCTGGCTTGTGTGGTATAACATAAAAGATTGCCTCACTTTGTTAGAATAGTGCTTGTGTTTGTAGCTACTTGGGTTTGAGGGGCTTGTGAGGCTTGGACTTCATATGAATTTAGTAAATTTTGTGCCATACATTCTTTTCCATTTCTTCCATTATTAGACAAATTATGACTTGAAATAGACAAACTGAAAGGGATGCATTAAAATTACCTCTTCTGGAATGCATTTGTTGAATAAGTACTGGTTAGCGAAGAGGCTTAGTTAAAGCAAAAACTGCTAGTCTGACCTTCAGATGAGTATCTAAATTACTAATTTATAGCTATCTTTTAATCATAGCACTGGTTTCTCGCTCTTGTTGCCAGCCTCTATCCAATAGCTTACAACAAGGATTGCTAAATGCTGTTAGTATGAAACTGGGACATAAGAAAGCATAAAATATGCTGTCTGTCTAATCTTTCTGTTGCTCGGAGTCATCTTGGAAGTGATCTATTGGTTTTATCAAAATTGATGAGAGCTGCCACTTGTGCAGGGGGTAAAGCCAAATGTTTGCAGGACTGTTAAGAGGGATGGTCGGGACTATTTCAGACAAGGCTGCAGGAAGAAAGAAGATGTGACTTCTGCTTCTCAGAAAGAAGCCTGCTCTAAAGCAGTGGAGTCCATTTTTTTTAAAGGCACCTCATTCTGGGCGTATTATTTTGATGGATTTTTTTTGCACACTAATTCTAGAGCAAATCCTAAGACCTCGAAGAAAACATGATATTAGTTATGTTCAGTATCTGCTTTGTGTCTTGTTTGATTTTGAAAAAAGCTACCTTTCCTCCCATCCTGGTCAGGAATCAAAGCTGTGCATACATTACATACATAATGCATACTGAGCATTTTGCAGTTTTGCTGAGTCAAGTTCTGCTGATTCACAGCTAGGACTAGAAAATGAAAAGGATTTTTTCCCTCCCTTCTCTCCTACCAGCGCTCACATTAAAAGTATTCAAAGTGATATCAAGTATATCAATTATATATTTAGTTTAAAGATTGCATCATGCTAAGTAAAGTGGGTGTTTCTTTTTTAATTCATATATCCAAATAGTAATTAATAAATACTAAAACTTGAGAGAGTATTTTGAAAGTTGGCATCTGGGACGTTGTAAACTCGGAGATGGGCTCTGAGGAAACTGTTAAAACTCTCAAATAGAGGCAACTGTGGAATTGGGTGAAGGCTGAAAATTACAAGTGGAATTTAGGTGCTTGGCCCCTTCCAGCATATGTATTACACATCTTTTGTAGGGGCAATATTTGACAGTGAAGCTGGATGATAGGATCTGCTTGCACTGTAGTGATGGGCCTCCCAAGTCTCCCAACTTTAATCATTCCAAATAGAGCTGCTGCACCCCAGACTGATCTAAGCAGTTCATGTGCAGCTTACGATTTTTATGGTTTGATGCATTAACTGTTTAATTTTTTTTTTTAAAAGAAAGGGTAAGCTTTTAATTATGTCCTATAAATAATAAATCTTTTTTTCTTAATATCTAAATAAGGTGTGCAAACAGATTTGGCTAGGACTATTTGATGACAGATCATCAGCAATTCCAGACTTCAGGGATCCACAGAAAGTAAAGGAATTTCTACAGGAAAAATATGAAAAGAAAAGATGGTAAGATAGTCTTTCTGATTTTAAAAAATATTTTTATGGGAATTATTTCTCTGATCAGAAGTAAAAATTTACCAATGTTATTCTTAAAATCGTAAAAGTGCTTTCCCTTTTGTGTGCCCTTTTGCCTTGATCACACAGCTATATAAAGTAAAGAGACTTCTGAATAAAGTCCATAAATCAAACAGGAAATGGAGAAGGTAAACTATTTCAAAGATTTCCCAATGTGTACCTTATCTTGATGGATCAGAAGTTATTTAAGGTGGCATTGGCAACAGCATGAAGCAATTTTTGCAGACTGTTATGAGGAGATAAAGATGCATGTGGTCTTAAAGGGTTATAAAATTTTGAAGGTTTGGAATTCTAGTCCATTTTAAAGAATATAGCTGACATTTAAATCCCAGCTATTTCGGAGAGTATTGGTAGAATTTTGTGCTGGGCCAATGGTTAAAATGGCAGAGCTGGTCTCTCCGAGCGGTTTTCACACGTGTAGACTTTGGGCAAAAATTTTAATGTTAAACTTATACAAACAATTCCTCTTGTTCAATGTAGGTATGTTCCTCCAGAGCAAGCAAAGGTGGTGGCATCAGTCCATGCCTCCATATCGGGGTCTTCTGCCAGTAGTACAAGCAGCACACCTGAGGTGAAGCCACTTAAATCTCTTTTGGGAGAAGCTGCACCAGCACTGCACTTAAACAAGGGCACACCTAGTCAAGTGAGTAAACACTGTCAGAACTGAAGAGCACAGAACTGTTCAGCTCTATCTTTCTGTTGTTAGTAGGGTGAGAAATTTTGCAATAGGAACTGCTACCTAAAAATATGAGTATCACTGTAAGTAACTTTGTGTATTGAAGATCAGGCCCCAAGTTCATTCTTACTTTACATGTGTCTGCAACTGCCTTACCAACGGCCTTTCCTGGTTTGTCTGCATGTTGTTAGGGAAAGCCAAACTATACTGTAGCTTAAGTCTGTAAGAAAGACTTTTTGAAAAGCTGTTTTGCCATTAGGGAACAGTCAGCCCTTGATTCTTACAGTCTGAAAACCCGGAATTGCAACCTCTAGCTTTCCTATGAGACTTTTTCATCCTTTACTGAATTCAAAATTCAGAATGCGATGAATAACTGTTTTCTAATTTGCAAACCTAAGTCTTATTGCTTGTTTTTAACACAGCAAGTACTAGAGAAATGCATATTTTTGAAGCTGCTTGTTTATTTGCGGCTACTTTATTCTTCTGGGGCTCTTTAATGAATGGAAGCCTTCTCTAGAATTCACTTAACTATTGAAGTATCATAACTAGAATGCCCGCTTCCTGCAGCAGCATGAGGGTCTGTGTTGGATAGAGCATTTTTAATAGGTTACATCTTTATTGGGTTATTTGTTCCTGGAGTGATTGTCTATGAAAATGCAATTTTATTTGATAAACCTTGTGGTTTGCAAGGAATTACCAGTCAGGAGGGTATTCGTGTAGAGCTGTTCTAAAGGTAAATTACTTCATCCTTTTAGCATCTTGCAGGAAAAAAAGTCACTGTAGTAAAATATCAGCTGCTTTGTTTGTTTAGCTAATTAAAATGTTATTGGTAGTCTCCTGTTGTAGTTCGATCTCAAGGACAGCAGCCACAAGAAAAGAAACAATTTGATCTTCTCAGTGACCTTGGCTCGGATATCTTTGCTGCTCCTGCTCCTCATTCAACTGCTACAGCGAATTTTGCTAACTTTGCACACTTCAACAGTCATACAGGTAAGTATTCTGAGCAGACTATCCCTTCTAAACTTAGCAAAAAAATGAAAGTATATTGTACAGCTTTGAACTACAGTAATTTGAGATTTATTAATTTCTGTGCCTTGAATGTTGCATTGTTTAACTTTTCTTTATAAATCTAAAAGAAAGCTTGAAAGCAAATGATGGTAAAAGCAGATACTGTGGGTATGTTTTCATCAGGCAGTACTCGCTATAGCTGTTTTCAGGATAACTGTGATTCAGATGTTTTCTGCCTACTACCAGGACATAAATTCTTTGGGGGAGTCAGTGAGAATGAGTAACATAACATGGGGAGAGGCTGATATTAGACCTTCAGTTTTCTTTCCCAAAATTAATAGGAAAAGCATTCACAGAAAGAAAGCAGATGTGGAGACTTTAAAGGATTTCAAATACATTGACAATAGCTGTCAACATTTTAGAAGACTTCTTCAGTTCAAAGAAATTACTCTCTTTTTTTTTTCTTCCTTTTTTGTCTATACCAAACTGAATAAAGCCCATGTGGGCAGTATGCTATAGTTTCAGGAAGAATAAACAACCATTGAACATTTGTCTTGACTGAGCTGGGGTAGGCCTTGAATTCTTAAAGAATGTTTTCAGTAGTATATCTTAAGCCCTCAGGGTTTATTTTCAGATCTTGGACCTTAGAAGTCTGTTCTAAGGAAAAGCTGATTCTGTGATCACTGAAGTATATTGTTGTTAGCTTGCATTGTAATTGTGGGAAAGTATCTTTGCCTGACTTGCCTGAAAGAGCTTTTCATACTTCTTTTTTTCCCCCTCTGAGGTAAACTGTGGTTACTGACAGAAACTGGCTGCTAAGTTGCTAAGAATTAGAAAATTTCTTTAAAATTGTATTAAAACTGATGGCTGGTGGGACACAAGTCACATACCTGAGGAACTGAGAAAAATATGAAGATGTGCTTAAAGTTAACATTTTAAAACACGTTGTGAAATGTTTGGCTGTATTTGGCAGGGCTGAAGAAGGTGTGCTGCTGCAGTGATTTCTGTTAAAATGCTTCAGGTAAACTTCCATGTTAACTATGGAGGTGAATTTAATTGAGAAAAAAATTGTGCCAAGTGGCCAGTGTTGCAACGTAACTGAAGAAGTGGCAGATACCTAAACTCTTTCTCGTCACTCCATTTCTGCTCAGACTTGTGCTTAATGATTCTGTAGGAGCTTCAGAAAGTTCTGCTCAAGCAGTATTTCAATATTATTCCAAATATAGACAAAATTCTGCTCAATCTCTTCTGGGTAAGAGTTGTCATGGTAGGATGCAATGTGATCGCTCCATTTTTTTTTTTATTATTATTATTGCAGTAATTGCAGATTGTGGCTATTCCCCTGACTCCTTTCAATAGGTTTTGGAAGATAAAACATTTTCAGACCTTGTGAATTAATTGCATGATAACTAAATGTGTATCACAGATTTTTTTGTGTATAAAGGTGATTTCTGGCTCAGTAGTATAAAATACTAGTAAGGTTTGTGTAATGTGCGATAGCCACAAGGCAGCGTTAAGTAAAACAGGCCATGCGAGGCTACAGGCTTTCCCTTTAGATACACAAGGTGAGTCTACCAGGTTGTGCAAAAATAAGTTTTCAAAGTTTGTCTAGTGAGCCCATAAACATGTAACTGGTTGGCCAGTTGCCCAGTCACAGGGGATGGCAGATCTTGCACTTGATCCAGCACAGCTTCTTTAGAGCCAAGGCTCCCGTGGCTGATGTTCTTGTTAGAGCCTTGTGCTTTTGCTGCTCCTGTGGAATGGGGTGGGCTCTTTGTCATCGCTGTCTGTACAGTTTAATTGTGTGAAGAACTTGCTGAAGAGCAGCAGCAAGGTTGGCATCAGCTGCAGGAGTTGCTCTGCAGTGAAGACACCACTGAGTGTAGAAGCTACAAGGAAAACGTTTAAGATGCCATCATGTGATATCCACATGAAAAGCATGAAGATAACCTAGGCAGTGGTAACTTCTCACATATTCCTCTTCAGGAGTTTCCTGATAAATCCAGCTGCCTCAGGACGTTGCTGTATGTTGAAGTGTAATCGTGCTGACTGCTCATTTACTTTCTGTGTGTGTCTTAAAAAGTTGCCTAACTTGTGCAAAGTGAAGAGATTTTGAGGAAAGATGGAGCACACAGTTATCTGCTATTGCTTGCACACTGCTAAGAGTGACAAAAGAAGCTAAGAATTATTTGACATGCAGAAATTCTGTGAACTTTGGGTACCTGAGCAATAGGTTTTAGGAAGGCACAGGGTAATTGTCCTGAATTGTGAGCAAGAACAGACTTAACTCAGAAGAAATATAATAGTACAAAACAATTATTGTCTTCTGGAGAATTATTTTCAATTTCATAAGTAAATAAGTGCTGTCTCTATTATAGAGGTTTTTGTTTTGGGATATTCCGCTTCGTAGTGGAAACTTCACAGAAGGTGTTGAGCAGTGGCTGGGAGGACTGGCTTGTATTGCTATGACTGTGGTGTTGCCGTTTTTCCAACTTAGCTTTAACCAGTTGCAAGGTTAGACCTGCTTGTTGCCTGCTGAGGTTTCTTGTGTTCACATTGTTCTTGACCTTTTGGATGGAGAATTAATTTTGGAATTGACTGTCCATCCTTAAAAATATGATGTCCATATCATACAGGTGCAGGAAAGTCAGATCCTTGTCTGGCCTTTACTTTGGGCTACTTTCTCATGGTAAAGTTTGAACTTGTGTAAAATATTGCAAGGTTAATATCTGAATACTCTGCAGAAGAGCAGTGTACTGTTGTATTAACATGGATTCCCTTGTAAATCACACTTTTGTATCAGCTGCTTCAATATAATTATTAAATGTAGGCTGCAATAGAGTACTTGTACTTGCATTTGTTATTAGCATTGTGCAGTAGTTTGTATGAAAAGGCACTTAGTTTATGAACTTGTAGTACATATGTTTTTAGAATATTTTTTTTTAGTGAAGTATTGTAACTTTAGGTAGCTAACATGACCTACAGCAATACTTAAACCATGTGCATCATTTTTTTTTTTCCCCCCTATGGATGAATTCTGTGGATGTGGAAGGGCTGACCTAATAATTCACTATTTATTTGTTTATTTAAAGAATGACTTAGGTTATTTATATAAAAGGTTTTGGTTTATATTTGAATTAGATCACTTTCTGCTTGCTTGTAACTGTGTCTAAGACTTTCAGGGCAGCTTACAATCAGCAATCAATTCCTATTTAATTTTTCCATTCTAGAATGACCAACTACTTGAGGTTAGATGGATTTTAACTTTTATTTCCTCCTATAGTATGGCATGAAAGGAAGGACCAAACTGAAGTTCTGTTTGAAATTTCCTTGGATTTTATTTTGTGGATTCACTCTATGAATGTTATCTTCTTGACATTGGTATTAATTTTCCATATTCTTGTACTTTTAGCTTTTTGTAAAACTTAATTTTCCAGTAAAATGCACTTACAAGCCTGGTGGAAACCGTTCAAGTGATAGTAAAAATAAATCCCTCCAACAAAGAAGATCCTTGTATAGAAAGAATTCAAGTTGTTGTATAACTTTTGTTCTAATTTTTATTCCCAAGCAAATGCCCAGTTATCCCACCAAGCCTATTTTGGGGAGATGGTGTTTGGAGCGATACCTTCTTTGGCTTCTACAGCTGTCCTTGGTATTCTGTGCTCTGTGGCTGTTTTTCCCCAAGCCATGTCTACCCTGAGCACTCTAGGTTTAAACTAAACTGGACTTCATTAGGTCACGTAGCTGTGAGGAGGACAATGTGTGAGGAGAGAAGTGGCAGCAATTGACCTAGGTCTGCAAAAGCAATTCATGAAAAGTTTGTTTCAAGAACAACTTTTATTTGTAGAGTATGACGTATAATTTATGTTAAAAAGAAGTTACAAGCTAGAACACAATTAGAACACAATCTTGGAGGCTGTCATGACCATTAATTCACTTAATACATCTGTATTTGTGTTTTTTTCCTCCATATCCATTAACATGTTTTGTTCCTTTGCAATTTACAGCGCAGAACTCTGCAAATGCAGGTTTTGCAAACTTTGATGCATTTGGACAGTCTAGTGGCTCGAGTAATTTTGGAGGTTTCCCCACAGCAAGTCAGTCTTCTTTTCAGCCCCAAAATACAGGTAGAACTCCTAGCGCTTTTGATTAATACGTAATTGAAATAAACCATACCTTTAGGTTGGAAGGCACTTGAGTTTGTTTCTTGCATCTGCCTGCTAAGTGCAATCAAGCCGTCTGAAGCTCTGGGGAAACTCAAAATGAATTCCTTCTGTTTGATGTTGATTTTTCTTTTCTTTTCTTCCTGTTTTTGTGTTTTTTTTTTTTTTTTTTTAATGCTACTATGGAGTCTGATTTATGGGCACTGTATGTTTGTTAGCTCTACACCTGAAAGAATTAAAAAATAGAATGCAACCGTATTACTTATGACAAACATTACATTGCATTGTTGCCTTAGAAGAATTTCAGTAAACACTCAAAGGACATCAAACTGTTAAAAACTTATGTCTCTGTGCATATATACACACTATATATGGACACACTTCACTATAATTTCAAAGGTTTTCATGTGTAGAGCCTATTACTGAGATTTATTTTATTTTCCTTTAATTTGTTCATGCTTTAAAACTCTTGCTTGAGCTTACACTTGCTGTTTGTCTAGATCTTTGGCTGACTGACTCTTTTCCTTTTTTTGTTTTCTTTTTTTTTTTTTTTTTTGAGTGTGGTGTCGTTTTAAACTTTTTTTCAAATTTTCTTTCTCCCTTCTTATGTTAACTTTAACCCACACACAATTTCTGGCTGTCCAGCGTTCAGAACGCTTTCATCTAGCTGCAGTTTTGGTGAATTTACTTCAGCTTTTCCTCTCCAGGCTGTGCACAGTAAGTTCCACACAGTGGAAAACTCAGCTTGCTTCATTGTTTGCCATTGTTGTATAGCATTTTCAGTTTTACTGTTGCATATGTCTTAACTTCATTGATTAAGCTATTAAAGTTGTGTGTCTTTTGGGTTTTTTTGTTGTTGTTGTATGAGTGGAATCCTTAACCAGTTATTATGTGTGTTACATTTAATGTACCTGATGGAACAATTAAGTATAAATATAACTTCCTTAGATTAAACTAACACTCTGGACTCTGAACACTTAGATGCTCATAGCTTTATATTTAAATACAGTTCTGTGTCATGAACCTAAGCCAGGTTCTTCTAATTAACTCATCTTTGAGATCATTAGAGACTTGATACCAAAACAGCTGTGTTTTTCTTTACTCTTACCCCTTCTTGATTGGGTGCAGTTTGAAAATCTGAGACTAAATAGTGAATTAGTCTCTCTCTGAATCTTGGCATGCTACTTTTGGACCTCCACGCTGTGTTTTTTTGCCTGGAGTAATGACAGACTTCTGAAATAGTCAAACATATTGTACCATTAAGTAAATTCAAATAGCAGCTGTTAATTAGACACACTTGACAGGAAAACGAAGGTCCTGTATTCTGAATTTTTAAAACTGAGAACAGTATAGATTTTTTTTTTCCTCCCTAACAAAATGTTGTTGCTGAAACTGCTTTAAGAGTTCATGGGTAATGCATAGTTTTGCGATATCTGACTGTGATTAAGTTGTTAAACTGTTTTTTTAATCTCTGATCTACAGTCTAAAAATTAATCTGATAATGCAACATGAATTTGAAGGATATGGGAAAGGATGTCAGTCTTGTGGGATGGTACAGCGGGAAGATGTTGCTTCATGTAACCCCAAAGAGGTGGCATTTTTGTGCCACTAATTGCGGTTAGAGAGACTTCTCTGTCTTTGAGTATTGATCATGTTTGACTTGTCTTGTTACAGGTGGAAGTGCTGGATCGGTGAATGCTAACTTTGCTCACTTTGATAACTTCCCCAAATCCTCCAGTGCTGATTTTGGAGCCTTCAGTGCTTCTCAGAGCAACACAACGGCAACTGCAGTCAGTAAAGCTGCAGTGAATAAACCGAACCTCCAGTCAGCAGACAAATATGCAGCTCTTGCTAATTTAGATAATATCTTCAGCACAGGGCAAGGTATTAAACTTTATTTCTTGACCTGTTTGTGCTACAGTGCTTTTATTCTGTATCACAAGAATGTCTGTAAAATAGCAATCTACTGTATTCCAAAATGTCCCTTCTTTATACTATTAGTGGAATTTCCCATATTTTATGCTATGTTGCTATGTACTCTTAATGTGCATAAATTTAAAAGAGTTAAGTTTGAAATTAATGTGGTTACTACAAAAGGATGCCTTCCTAGAATGGATTTTTGGGAACCTACTTGCTGTCAAAATAAAGAATTCTCAGGGGAAATGTCTAAATAATTAGTGCAAGGTGCATTTTTTTTTGTGATACGCTTCAGCTAAAACCTGTGGTGAAGTTGATTTAAGAAAGAACTGTAGTAGTAGCTTTCTCCTACCAGCACTTCATTAACATACAGATTGGTTTTATTCTTTATATTGTTGAAACACTAAACAAGTTTAATCAGCTACCAAAAATATTTATGCTATATGTCATTTTGTTAATCTTTTCCTTAAGCTTGTCTGACCTTCACACTTTTTGCTCCAGTAAACGGTATTAATTGGCAGTGGTTAACTGTTCTGCCAGAGCTAAAGTTGAAAGTATTTGTATTTTGTTAGCACAGATGCAAAAATCAGCTTCAGTCTATGTTCCATTCAAGCCTTCAAGTAGACTGTATTCAGTCAGGTAACTGTCTCCTTGGCTTAGCAATTCTTACGAATAGATGAGGTGTAACAGTATAAAAAATGTAAATTTTAACCAAAGAAGCTAATTTTTTATATGCAGGGCAGTTTTGCTACTAAAAAAACAAAGTAGATTACTCAAGGTCAGTCCTTTGGTAAAAGATGCTGTGGTATCATAGCTTTCTTCCTAGGTATTTACAAAAACGCTGAGTTCGTTACTGCTGTTGACGTATAGAAGATTACATTTTATTTGGTCTCTTATCTCCCCTTCCCTTCATCGTGACTCTCTGACCTTTGTGACGTTTCACAGAATATTCTGTTCGCTTGGTTCTGTGAGGGCATTGTCCCTGTAGAGAGTGACTGGGAGGCAGCATCTTTTAATGCTTGTAAATCCAGGATGTGGAAAAACTTGAGTATGGGTTTACATACTGCTCTGCTGAGGAAAACGGCTAGTTATTCTTTAGCTCTTTTACTCCTCAAATGATATGAAAATTCAAGTATTCATCTCTTAATGTAGAACTTTATTCCAAAACAGTGTTGTATTTAAAAAAAAAAAAAAAAAAAAAACTTCTAGTTGCAGAAAAGACAGTAGTGTTAAATAATGACTTATGTTCTGGGAAAAGCAGAGGCCTTTGGGACTGTTGAATGTTTATAGAAGTCCTTTGTTGCCAATAACAGTGGCTTGTTAACTCTTTTAATAGACCGTAACGCTGAGGTATATCTATGTCTGAACTTCAGCAGAGCAGAAAGCAGAAACCATGTTGGTTATTTTTAATTTGGTCTCTCTTTTAGGTGGTAGTGAGCAAGGAAGTGGCTTCAGCACTGCAGTGACTGCATCAGCAGGTCCTACTTTGTCAGCCCCAAGTCAGTCAAGTGCATCTTCAGACAAGTATGCGGCTCTAGCAGAATTAGACAGCGTGTTCAGCTCCACAGCAACCTCCAGTAATGCATATACTTCCACCAGTAATGTTAGCAGGTACTCATCATTAGAATTAATAGATCTGTAAACTGATTTTGTCAGTATATGGAAAAATAGCTCAAGGAAGGAAGTAGCTTAAAGATGGTTATATTTTTTTTCTTCACAAAAAATATTGCTTTTTATTTATAATTATTCATTTTCTCTTGTAGAGATTAGGTCAGGAGAATGTTCTCTGTGCCTTTCAAGTTATTAGATACTAAACCCTTTAGATGGTAACACTTTTCTAGAAGGAATGTTTGTATGCATACTTATAATCATAGCATTATCCGTGACAAAAGGTCATTGGAATGTTTGTAATGTATAAAGTGTCAATCACTTGTATTTAAATCATTAAAATAATGAAAAATAATTGCCTCTTACAGTTAGGCAAGCACCTCTAAAGCCTTTGCTATGCAACTCTATGCTGATAGCTTCTATTCAATATTCTCTCTCTTGCTGTTGGGGGAAAGAACTTTCCATTGCTCAGCATATATATTAGTCTCTGACCCTGTCACAAGGGCCTCAATTTGTGGCATCAGTGGATTATATAGAAGTGCGTAATAATTCCTTTTCTTCTACATACCAGCTATAACTTTAGATTATATTTATTCGTTAAGCAAGTGATACTGACAGTGAATGCCTGGATTATTTTCAGTAATGCTTTTGGAACAGTACCTGTGGTTGCTACTGCACAGACACAGCCTGCATCTTCAAGCGTGCCTGCTCCATTTGGAGGTATGTAAGTGTTGCTAACACTTTTGCCAGACTGTTAGCAAACAGTAATGATACTGAAGTTGCTAAAGCATGCCAAAAAATAGTTGCCTGTGTGAATCATACTTTGCAAGTTAATCTCTGTATTATCAATTCTTTTTTAGTTTGTCATGCCATTATGGATATTTGTGTATCACTGCAAAAACCATATAACTGTAATGGAAGTCAGACTGACTATTTTTAAAAGGCTTTGTTTCATTATTATTTTTTAATCTTTCAGCAACACCTTCCACAAATCCATTTGTAGCGGCCCCTGTTGCCCCAGTGGCACCTTCAACAAATCCATTCCAGACAAATAGCCGAGGAGCAACAGGTTAGAAAACCCTCTAATCCTTGAAGATATTTACTTTAAGACTTACATTGATTTTTTTTATCATAGCTCTGTAACTTCTTTCTTGAAGGCTTTTTTGTATTACCTGTCTTAACTGTCTTTCATCTTTTCTGTTGTTATTTTGTGCGTTTGTTCAGTTAGCTACAAATGGGATGCAAAAGTCCAGATTCATATTTGAAAAATGTCAAAATTACATCTTCCAAGATATTTTTGATACTCCCTCAGCTGTCTGTAGGGCTAGTAGGATACCTTCCAGGACTGAACTCTGCTTTGAAGCTGCCTTGTGGTAGGTTGCCCTGAAGCTGGGCATCTTGAAAGCCCTGCTGTTAAGCTGCTATGCTTCATTTTATTTATTGCCCACGTCTCCCAGTTCTGATATTTTAGTAGACTGGTTTGAGGTGAGCTTTTAAAACAAGGATTAAAGAAGTAATGTGGAATATACTTCTGTGGAAATCTTTAAAAACTCCTTAGACTTTGCAAGAGCCTGGACATTGGTATTTTGCTTTAGTTAAAACTCAGCTCTTGTAGAAACCATACAAGAGCCCATGAACCAAACTGTATTTGGAATAAAGCTTGACTCTGGAGGAGTACCCTAAAAATTCAAAGTAATTATTCAAAGTAATATGAAAGTGGTGCATATTTACAGGATCAGGGATTAATTAAAATAAATAGTAGTTGAAATGGGTGAATCGAAGGGTTTTGTCCGCTCTCTGATAACAAAATAATGATATTGGAATATATAATCCAAATGATCATGGCTTACATCTGATTTTCTCAGGATTCTGTAAATTATAACTTTATAGACAATAGCTTATATCTAGAAAAACAAACCTGTGCAGCTCTTTACAGCACTAATCATGAATTTAATTGCATGGTATTTTGTACTTATTTCAATTTCTTACAGCACTGCTATGTTTTGGCACTCTCATCTGCATGGATTTTTGGGTTGGGGGGTGGTTTGTCTTAAATCAGTTGTCTATTTATGTGTGCATTGTAGTGTTGAACCGTGCTTTGCTCAAAATTCTAGGTAGAGTGAATTAAACTGATCCGGCTGAGTTAAGACAAGATAGATCAGATTCATGTCTCCTGCTTTAAATCCACTTTAAATATGATTAAACTTAACCACTCTACCCTTCTACCTTCCAAACTGTGCTACCCTTTGCTTCCAGAGTTTTCCAGCAATTTCTTCTGCTGTAATCAAGTTGTGTGTTAAATAATAGACATTACTACTGACTATAGATAATATTCTGCTTCCTATGTAAGATGTAAACTGGTAGTTTATCCTTTTTGGATGAGTTTTGCTGTTTATTAGGTGGGATATCTGATTTGTAGTATTTATTTTTAGGTGTATATTATGTGAATTCATTGCTGACCATACCATAAAATTAGGTTTAAAGCATTATGCATATGTAAAAGTAGTTGTCTAAGAAGTTATTCAAAAGTGTATAAACTATTTGATGTTGTCTGGTCTCTTTGTGGCTTCCATAAGGCCTCTCGGGAGCAATGCACTCTCACATATTTCCTCAGGCTCATTTTGGTAGGTGGCCACATTCGGTATTAAGTTTCGTGTGGCTAATTGTTCTTGCTTGTAAAAGCTTAATGGCAGCTATCTGGTTCTCTGCACATAGAATTTCAGTCGGCTCTTCCCATCTTTTGAAATGGCATGAGTGTGGGTGTCTGGCAGCTGGGAGAGGTGGGGGAGAGCAGCATAAACAACTTGCATTAAGCATCTAGAACAAAACCATTATTGGTAACCTTTCTGTCACAGAGAATGTTATTTTGTGTGACTCGAGGTTTATGCTCCTGCTGACTTGATGCCTTTTGGGATGTCCCAAGTCACTGCTCGTATTGTGCTTTGGGGTTTGCTATTGAATAGATTCTTCACTAACTGCAACTTGAGAACAATGCTAGCATGTTAGCTCAGTATGTGCCTTATCAATGGTTTATGTATGTATAATGTCCTGCCATTGAGTAATGTGGGAGAAAACTGTTGGTTAAGCTATATTAGCTACATTTATTTTTATAACCAGGCTTACTGAAAATCTGCAAAAATTGTAACGCTTTAACAAAAAAAAAAAAAAAATCTGGTTAAAGTTAAAGCAAAAGCCTGGTATGTGTTTGTACCAAAAAGCCTTCTGTGTGTCTCCTCCTCCCAGAATAACTCCCAAAAGTCTTAATAATGGTTTTGTTGCTGCATTTTTCCAATTAACGTGCTCTTGTTAATTTGTCTGAAGGCATGTGGAATTGCATATATGCTTTATGCTCTTTACTTCAAGTGTTCAGCAGAGAATCAGATGAAAAGAATTCCTTTGTTTTGTTTAATTCTTCCCTTAACAATAAGAGTGTTTGCAGTAGGAAGTCTGTGTGATAGTTGATGTGCATGGTAAGGATTTTCTTTAAAGTGATGCTGAGGCTGGGGCAACGAGCAAGGGGATGCATGTGGTCTTTACAGTTTTATTTGTATTCTATTTATTCTTTTGCTTCCTTAAAATTAGGGAGGTCTTTTCTTCCTTTATTAGTGGGAGAGAAACAGGGGCTTACACTGCTTGCAAATGCTTGTTTCTGATTTGTGCCCTCTTATCAGGAAATACTGGGGAAAGTATTTAATAATGCAGAGAATGTGGAAAAAAAATGCCCTTTTTAAGAAAGTTTGTCTGAAGTTTGTCGAAGTAGCAAAATTGAAATTACTCTAAATTTTAAAATGCAGAAGTAAATCATGCATCTTGTTGTGACAATTTGAGTTAACAAGTCAATTTAGTGGTTGTAGAAGTTGAATCCAGCTCCTGTATGTCTACGGAGGCTTTAGGATTTTTTTTAACGTGTTATTACAGTAATTTGACTCATGAAAATAATTGAATGCAAATAATTGAATGTTCTTTTTCCCTCCCAGCAGCAACATTTGGCACGGCATCCATGAGCATGCCTGCAGGATTTGGAACTCCTGCCTCTTATAGTCTTCCTACTAGTTTTAGTGGCAACTTCCAGCAGCCCACATTCCCAGCCCAGGCAGCTTTCCCTCAACAGACTGCTTTTGCTCAGCAGCCAAATGGTAGGTTTGTACATTTTGGATAATGGTGTTTCTGAGAAGCATAGAGGAAATACTTCTACATGAGTGATAAAAGAACATTTATTTTTATATGAAGTTAATAATATTGATACAAGGATCCTAGGCTATAGGTTAGCTCTTCAGTTGACTTGTCTGAGTGGATTTTGTATGGTGACTGACTGAAACTTTATCTTAATCTGATACTAAAATTGTAAAATTACTCCCGGACATTAGGTCCAAGATGCAGTGGTTCTTAGATTTTTAGCATTAACAAAGCAGTCATGTTGTCAAATATGATTTCAGAGTGCCACCTTCAGAATTTGGCATTAATATAAAAACAGTAATTCTTTGGAGCAATTTTTCTCCAGAGCTAAAGCAGATCTAGTTTAGACCTCCTGGTTATCTGAATGAAACTGTCCCAGACACATGTATGTTTACTTTATTTGAGTTTGCTAGGCTCCTTATAGAACTCAAGATGAACTACATCTAATTTGTGCAGTCCATTAGACTGCATACTGAGCGTTCATACTGTTTTGTCCTATTGCTGAGGTATGAAGAAGTAATTTGCAGTTGAGGATGATGAAGCCTTAAAAACCCTGTCTGTTTTCTAAATCATTTTTAATTGCTAAATAGGGGCAAGCTTTAAAAATAAAAGTAATTTGGAAGCAACACTTGCCAGGCTTAAACAGGTCCAGCTTTCCGACTATTTTTCAGCACTTTCAGGTCTTAGCATCTGGAATACTCAAAACTTCTACTGGAATTAAAAGCATTTCATACACTAGAAGTAAATTTATATCTACATTTGGGACTCATTGGGATGGAGGAGAATACTGAATGCCTAAATTAGCTGCATTTGTAACAACTGTTCCTAATATTTACCTAGTATTGGAACCAACAGTCCTAATATAAATGTTGAGTGATAAAGTCAAACTTAATCTTGTAAAATCCGTGTATTACTAGCTTGGCTTCTAGCATTAATATTTTCACTGTTGTCTTTCCAAGGGGCAAGTTTTGCTGCATTTGGACAGGCAAAGCCTGTAGTAACTCCTTTTGGACAAGTTGCAGCTGTTGGAGTATCTAGTAATCCTTTTATGGTAAGTGAGTTCATGCAAGACAGTAACTTCTGTATGTCTGAAAGGAGGCATCAAGTGTAACACTTAATTTAGACACGTGCAAATTGCCATCCCTTCAAATTGGGAAAGGCAGCATGTGAATCCTGCTAAATGCAATTCAGTATTGTGACGCCATGGTGCTGCTCAGATTGAGATGGAGCTAGATGCCTACTGTGCTCTTTACATTAGCACAGTTTGAGCTACCAAAAAATCCTGTAAGACAGAAACAAATCTTTCCTAGTAAGTTATGTTTCAATTCATATTACATCCATTTATGTCATTGGGAAAAAAAATCTTAAATCCTTATTTTTTCCTCTTCTCTCTTTTTTCCCCAAGGCTGGTGCACCAACGGGACAATTTCCAACGGGAAGCTCATCAACCAATCCTTTCTTATAGCCTTATAGACACTTTACCTAAAAGAACTCTTATGTGGTCACATAACATCTCTGCGCCTCTTGCACTGTTGTCTTGTTTCACTGATATTAGCTTTAAACACAAAAAAAAAAGTCTTTAAGAAGTAAAAATAAAAGCCTGCATTGTGTACCTTAGGAAGAAAAAACAAAACAAAACAAAAAAAACCCAAAACCACCCCCTGCCCCCCACGAGGTAATAATGTGCAAAACAGAGGGCTGTGGTAACATCCTTGAACCTGTGAATTGGCAGGTAAAAAGTAGCGGTATCATGTATATTAAAATTGGCTAATAAGTTATTGCAGATACCACATTCATTATGCTGCAGTACTGTACATATTTTTCTTAGAAAATAGCTATTTGTGCATATCAGTATTTGTAACTTTAACACATTGTTATGTGAAAAAAAATGTTACTGGGAAATAGATCAGCCACTTTTAAGGTGCTGTTGTATCTCTTGGAATGAATGAGCTACATCGTTTTAACCATCGGTATTGGAAGTCATGAAGTTAAATTGAAGGTTTATTCATTTCTCAAAATGTTTTCCTTTCCTAAGAGCTCTTCTATTTATACATGCCTAAATCTCTAATGTTAGAGGGATACCTGTCTGCATAATAAAGCTGATCATGTTTTGCTACAGTTTGCAGGTGAAAAAAAAATAAATATTAGAAAAACAATTGCATGGCACTTACTTCTGTACAGTAACATTTTATTGGGTTAAAATGTATGTATTTTGAATTTCATGCACACAAGTTATCTAAAGCCATATGCTCTAAGGTGAGCTAAGCTGAAAATTTCCACATGCTTCATCTTGGATATATTTTGTGTTTCTTTTGGTGTCCTTGACCTACTCTTCTGAGTCAAGTGGAGTAGCCTACTCAACAGCGAAGTATTGGAGTGAACTTGGATTATTTTGATAGAAAAACTGTTTAATGAAGGACTTTGGAAGCACTGAGGAGAGTAGTAACTTGAGAGGAAAGGATTAGCTGAGAGGCATAATTGTGGGCAATAAATGTCAGTCTTTAAGCATGACTTCTTTGTGATCAGAACGGTGTATCTGACTGCAGACACTAATGCTCTTCTTACTAAATATGCATGGGTATCAGTGAGACCTCTCATGGAAGGGGATATTTTATTAAAATGTTTCATGTTCAACTGGAATGAAGTTTGTAGAATAAAGATGGCTGGCTTCTTTAGCTTGTAATAGAAGGATGGTAAGAAGTTTATGATACTCTCTGTATAAAAATAGGCAATGATAGGCATGAAGTCGGAGACAACTTGATTTGAGTTTGAGTCTACTACTGGCTCTAAGCAAACGAATGTAGATATCTCATGACTACATAGACTGTTAAGCTTAAAATAAGGTTTTGACCAGCTGAAAGGTGATGTTGCTGTTTTCAAGATAACAGGAATGCATAAGATCAGGTGATATTTAGATGAATTTAGAGAAAAGGATATGCAGGCCAATTTGAGGCAGACAAGAGAATTTTTTAAGGTAAGAAATTTCACTTGTAATAGTGATTACTTGAATATTTGATCTGTTTATTTCCCTAAAGACTTGATCACTCCTTGTAAAACATTGTTATGTTTTTTATGTCTGTTTTGTTTCTTCTGTTGCCTGTACATGAGGACTAGGAATTTCTCTAGCTTACCTTTATTTTTCTGAAATATTGGTACTGTCCTGTTAAGACACTTGACATTTGATGTTTTAACAGTGGTTTTCAGATTGGGAGTTTGGGGGTTTTTTTGTTTGGCTGTTTGTTTTTGTGTTGTTTTTGTTTTGTTTTCCCTTTAAACAAGAGCAGCTGGATATGGATACGGGGTAGTGTGGTTTATATCCCAAGGATTTTGGAGAAATTCACTAAATACTTCTGCAGTTGGGTTGTTTTGGGGATCTTAGTAGTTCCATTGGGTTCACTGCAGCTTTTAGCATGGTATAAATGGTTGTAGTTATGATCTGTTAATCTTACCTGTCTGGGGCTAATGACTTGTTAATACAGTAACAAGTGGGAAAATCAAGAATTCATAAGGATGTATAGAACCCTTCAGCATACTTAGAGCTGGGAACTAGACCAAATTACCTAAATATCTCATCAGTAAGAGAGAAACAACCCTCTGGAAGGGAAACAGTCCTGCGCTCCCATCATGTGAGTGAATGTAAAGCCTTTGGACAAGAGCTAAAGAGATGGAAATCTGCTGAAGTTGTTCTGGTCCAGACAAAGCTGAGTACTGCTAACGGACACTGAGCAGAAACTGATACTATAGCTGTTCTGTTGGTTGCATTTTTTTTTTTAATGATAGCTGTATTTACAGAATGAATTTGTGTCAGAGACTTCTGTGGCTAGTGACTCATACAATTGCTCATGTCATTGGCATAGCTCCCCCAAAGCCATACTTCCATTAGCTTTCCAGTATCCTTTTCTGCTGTACCATTGCAGATTTTAACTTTGTAATTTCAGCTGCCTTATGCAAGTGTTAGTTTGGAGAGCTTCTGCATTATTTCTTTTAATCCTTATATATTAATTCACATGTTAGGATACAGCATAAAATAAAATATGGAACAGTTCCAAAATGGTAGATCTGATGCCCAGATACTACATTCTAAATTACTTAACTTGAATGATTGTATAATTCCCAAATACTATATCAAATCAAATACCAAGAATTTAATTTAAATGGAGTATATCTAGTTGGAATTATGGAAAGGGGAGAACTATAAATAAGATGCAGATAATTTGCTGTCTTGCAGGAAAAACTACTTATGGCGTAGAAGTAAGCTGAAACAATTTAAAAAATGTTTTGAAGAAATATATCATTTTGACTTTCCTGAGCTGAATGGGGTAAGTAGCAGTTACATTGCAAATTTGTACACAGTGATAAAGGAGTACAGTGGAATTGACCAGCTCATGAAATTACCTCTAAAGTGGACATCATCAAATGTGGTTGAGACATCCATTAGTTAACTTCAGTTACATCTAAATTGAAAAATGTTCCAATGTAACTAAGGCTGTCTTATGTAGAAGTTGAAATGCCTTCCCACGGTTAAAGAATTTCAAAGATTACAGCCTTTTAAAGGACAGTTAGGGTGCTGTCTTCGTGCATTCTGAGCTTACAGCAAAATTTTCACTGCATCGCTGGCAATTTATCCATCTCCAATCCCATGAATTCTTAAGAGTTCTGTAATTTGAGATTTGAGGGATGTATTTATTTGTGGAATCTGAACGGACTGCCTCTTGGTCAGTAGTGAGAATAAGCTCAAATGGCAGTATGGCTGTGCTCTATGGTATTGCAGTAATCAATTTTTGAACATAACAGAACTAGCATACCTAGAAAAATAGTTTATTGCTATCTATGGTAGCATGTATTTAAAATGCATGTCATAGCTTACAGGTAAGAAAAGCATAAGCCTTAAAGTTGGAAGTTTCTATGAGGATCACTTTGCTGCTGTGTGGTAGTTGCTTCATTTGAAATGTGTGAAGATGTTTGCAAGTAAAATTGCCTTCCATTGAAATCCTCAACAGAAGTGGTGCTTGAAAGTGTGTTTATTAAGCTCTTCTGTTGTGACATTCAGTCCTCTGAATGCACTTGGCCTCTTACTATGAGCACTAATACAGGTTTTGATGTTAGACCTCTACTCTTTCTTTTGAGTTAAAACGGAAGATTGATTGGAGTGGGGGAAAGCAAAGCTGTCTGTGCTGGAGCCCGTTTGAGCAAGCTTTGTGTTTCCCCTAATTCACTGCTGAGGTGATGGAGCCTTCTGCACTGTTGCTTGCAAGCAGTTTTTCTTCTTCCCCGTCCCTGCACCCCCTTAGTGATCAGTACTTGCACCAGCCACACTGGTAGTTCTGCGTTTGGTGGATGTGATGGTGTATATGCTTCTGATCAGGAAAATCCCCGCGATGACTGTGAAGTAGCTGCCATAAATGAGAAACTGGGAAATGGGATGGGGAAGAGGGAGAGGAAGAAACAAGAGCGGTTTTGTTCTGTTAAAAGCTTTTGGGATATGCCTTCACTGCCATGTTTCCCTCCCTGCCACCTGCCTCCCAGAGTGATCCTATGGGGTACAGAATTCCAGAAGTCTGGCTGCCTGTCCTAACCCTCTGTAAGTCTAGGATTGGAAAAGTAGGGAGAGAGAGTACGCTTCCTTCCCCCCCCGTCCCAGGAAGGCAGGAGGACAGCTGCCCTGTACCATCTCGCTCTTTCTTTTCTCTCTTTTTATAGTGTTGTCAACTCTTTTCCTCACTTAAAACTTCCCTAAGCTAATCTTACTTAGCTTGGTTGTTGATGGATGTGAAATAATACGGAGTTTCTTGTATCTTCCTTTGAAATATGAAGTGCTGTAAATAGATGTGCTCCTGTCTTTTGTATTACGGCATGCTCTGAATTCTTCTCACTATGTAAATTTGAGCTTGGTGAGCAGCTGCTTTCTTTAAAAATTCTCCTAGGCAAATTTGGCAGTGAGTAGCTTATTTTTATCAGTCTTCTCACTGAAGTCGAATCAGGTCTTATACTTCAAAAAATTCTACTTTGTGCTTTGAACATAGTATGGGCATAATGAGAATTAAGATTTGCATCTTTGCTGAGCAATTCCAATCTTCTGAGTACCCAAATGTTAATATTGTTGAAATGTGCATGTCCTGCCTTGCTGATCATGCCAAAAGATGAAAGTTTGAGCTGGACCTTACTCTGTGTCCACATTTAAACTAATTCTGAAAGTTGCCTGGGAATCATGAGATTAGTATTTTCAGAACTGAAACATACATGTAACTAGATAAAATAGAATTAGATGAAGATAGCTTGGATTACATTTTACTTAGCTTCCTGGTTCTGTTTAGGGTATTTTGACAAATGGATGAGTAGTAAACATCTAAATAAAAGGAAACTGAATAATAGGGAGTGCTTCTCTGCTTTTGCTTTATGGAAACTTTCTTAAAATAATAGCAGACATGCAAAACCAATAGGACTAAAGGGCAAGTAGGTTTCAGTGGCTCCTGCCAAGTTCACTTTACAGGAAGCTGTTTTCAAGGGAGTAACTAGCTGCTAAGCTAGTCAGTGAGCTAACAGTCAGTGAGCTAACAGTGAGCTAAGCCTTGTCTGGAGGGCAGGAGGGGACTGGGGAGTAGTGTGAATAACAGCACTTACCTGAGTGCTGATATCCAGTCCCAGACCTATTGAATCTACTACAACAACAGTTAAAATTGTCTGAATCACCAGTGCAACAAAGTTGTTGAAGCCAAACATTAAAGCGTAACGCTCCATACTTAGATTGACAGCAATCTGAAACCTAAAAAAGAACGGGTACACATTAACCTGGCTGTTTTCTTTCCTTTTTTCCTTTGAGTGAATATTTCTACTGTATAACTGATTGTGAACAGACTTGGAGAGAAACTTGTTTTGTGAGTTGTTTATATCTCGATATCTCTTTATAACCTGTCTGTGGTAGGAACCAATCTTCAGGTTGGTGCACTTGTATGTAACCCTAGAACTTTCTATAATTTCCATTCAAAGATACTTCAAAGAGGCCTTCAGCCACTTACAGAACTGCATTTTCAGCTTTTTTATCTTCTGACAAAAGCCTGTTTCTCTTTGCTTAATTTACTTGCATGATACTGTCTAAATGCTGTGAAATGCAGTAAGCTAAGAAGATTCAAAAATGAAGGCTTGTATTTATTCATTTGGTGTTTAGCAGAGATTTATACCTAGATCGTCAGACAGCTGAGTGCAGAATAGTTACTTGGAGTAACCATTGTAGTGGTTATGTAATATACTCTTAACCATAGTTCATGTGAGCTGGAAATAGTACAACTATGTGCTGTTGCCACAACCTATTCAACTTCTTATTTAAAGGGAAGTGTTCATTAAAATTATCATAAAGTATGAGATGAAACTTAGTGATTTAAATCAACTTAATTGTAACAAGGGTGAGTTATACTTACGTTGCAATTGTTATAAGGAACATATAGCATGCCTTAAAGACAAGGTAGCCAGCATAACATGCCCAGATGTTGGTAGTAAAGTGCATGAGAAATAGAGAACCAGCATCCATGGCAGAGAAAATCCCCAAAACCAGTTCTCCAGAAAAGTCCCAATTTAGTTTGATATATCCAACTGCCATGGATGTGGCTGAACCTAAAAAATGAAAATAACAGTTAAAACTGTTTAGCTGATTGGGTAATTGTAGTAAAGGAAGTCTCAGAATCACAGAAAAGTTGAGGGTAGAAGATCTCTTGATCATCTGATCTAACCTCCCTTGCTCAAAGCTGGTCAGCTGGAGCAGGTTGCCCATGTGTGTGTGTCTAGTTGGACCTTGATTATCTCCAAGGATGGAGACCCTACAGCCTCTTTGGGGAACCTGCTTCGCTGATTACAACAAGAAAAAAATGGTTTCTTCATATGTTTAAATGGAATACGTTTTCATT